GTAATAAAATCAGGTATGGCTTAACAAACATCAATAATGCAATTTTTGAATGACTGCGTCCCAATCAGGGATGGCCAATTAGAATAAAGTATTTGAATGTATCCGAATATCTCGTCATTCGAATATCGGAATTCACGTTCATAAGAATATCGAATATTTGTGTGACGTCACACATTTTCGACGCCGCTTTCAAGTCGTTTCCGTTGAATGAAAACATTCTCGATACACTCATCAGCGTAACGTGTTATTTAGGCCGTAAAGGCCTTTACGTTTGTGTTATTTTCTCTAAAACGAAAATTTTCCACATAATTTGTTCCATGATAAAGATAACATTTATTTTATTTTTGTACGCGCATGGAATTGTGAATCTGGTAAATACGTTCATCGGCGGCGAATTTCTAAAGACAACGCAACTTTTTGATTGAAAAGCGGCAATTTAAAATACTGAGAATAAAACCGTAAACAATATAAGTTTTATTAGGGCCCGCGAAAATTTAAAAAGCGCTTTTCTTTAGGCAGTGAAAATCGCAAAATTTCGTGTGCCTCTGGCACACATTATATTTGGTCGGCGTTTAGAAACATATCGTCACTAATTGAGGGCGGGATTTGCCTGATTATCCATTACTTTAAATTGTCGTCGAATATTTTCGTGTTAACACGATACAAGGTTTGAAACGCGACTGTTTCCCGGGTTGTGAGAATGTGTATAATTAATCTAAAGTATATTCAATCAATTTTATTGTGATGAAATAAATTTTACTCTGAGATATTACAGCATATTTATGGATTTTTCGAACGGTTTTATCTAAAAATAATCAGAGTGGCAGCATTTCGATCGAGCGGAGTCACTGTTAACAAGTACATCTAAACATTTGCCGAATTCGCAAAATACGGATTAAAACAATATTTAATCGGACAGTTTACCTCACGTTTTTATTTTTATGACCGCGGAATGCAATGGTATATAAGAGTGGTGAGGATTTTATTTTGTCGACGCAAACCCAGGTTAAATTGAAGACAATTAAATTACTAATAAAGCAAGACATTTTAAATATGCCCGTGTCGGTCACGAATTCATCACTTTGCACAACAGAAAAATATATATTCGTTGTTATATTATTTGTTGTAAAAGTCGACTCTTTTAACAGGTGGCATAATCGCGGCGATGAATATGTATTTTTAAATTACTGCTAAACTTCATATGTATATTCATTGTATGAAATGAATTATACTCTACACTAACAGGATTTTATATAATTATTTGAGATTTTTCTAACGGCGATAACGAGTTGGCAAGATTGCAAAAATACGTATTAAAATTAAATACATCAGGCAGTTTATCTCGTAATTTTAGGTCACAGATCGCCGTGGACCGAATAGTAATGTTTTTTTTGACGTAAGAAGAAGCAACCGCGAGTTACGTTGGACACATTAAATTAATATATAAAGATATTTTAGAATCTCGTAGTTGTCATGGATTGAATATTTTACGTAACAAAATGATCATTATACGCTGAAAAGACGGCTCTTTTAACGAGCGCGGAATCGCGGTGGGTGTTACAGGCGGCAATGGGAATTTCCGATTTCGAAAATCCTGGCTGCGCGCTGGCAGTGGTGGTCATCTATTCTCTACTAATTTATTTCTAATTCCAAACACAACAATATGTTACACATAATAGCAATATGGTTCACATAGTTTAATATACAAACTTACTGGTAGGTAGTAGAATACTCTAGGCTCTAATATTAGAATTTTTAAAGGCATAATGAATTTTCGATTGTTGTTGCCTGTATTGCCAATAAATTTTATTACTCTCAGAAAATATACACAATTATCTGAATACAAGTAGTATTTTTGTCAATAGACTTGACTATTATCGTAATATCATGGTACCAATGATAGAAAGCGTCAGACAACTCCTTGGCTATCTTTTCATATGGTCATTTGTACAAAGTGAATAATTTTAATAAACTGACTGTGTCACAATTTGCTATTATTTTTTATTGATAGCTATAAACTATCAATTACTTTGTGTACATATACTGTTGGTTTGTGGCTTCATTCTGATATTTCTATTGAAGCTTATTTCCTAATTTACTGGGTTTGATTTTAGAATGTATTCGGAATTCCAGATTCGAAAACATTATTTTAGAATGTATTCGAAAATGGCCATCCCTGGTCCCAATATCTAACGTAACTGGGAGTGTAGATATAGCGGGTCATCTACAGCAAAGGATCCGTATTTTCAATATGGATTTATAGCCGTAAGTCACAGCAATGAAATTTGTCCAGTTTGCCATACTGAGCTCTCAAACGAAGCCTTTGAAACTTCTTCGAACTATGAGATTGTCTTATAAGACTTATATAGAGCACTTGATTGAAATTTCAAATGATAATGAGTTGAAAAGTGTCCTTGCGATACTCTCTCTTAATGTGCGGTCGGATTTTCAATATTGACAACTAAGTAGGCTGAACGTAAGAAACCGTTACGTGCATCACTGTCGACCATGTCTCCGAATTCCGAACAGTTAATGAATGACCAGCAAACAAACGCAAATCTCGCATTGAATATCATCACCTATGTTTTAGAAAATTTTCTACTCGTGTAATTTATTACATAAGCTTAGTTCGTCTGTATAAAGAGGGTCCGCCAGGCTTTACCGGTTCGTCACTTAAAAAGGTTGCCGACAACTTGCAATCTCCATCTACATGCCCCACATAAGCATAGAAACCCTGCTTCAATTTCATACTTAGTTTTCTGAGCCAACAACTTCTTTGCATAGTTTTATGTTCATCCACCCGTGGTTTTTGTAGTTTATTCATTGAAGGTTCCTGTCCCTCGACACAGACAAGTACTTTGACTTCGATTACCACCAATAATTTAATGGGTCTGTTTCACAGTATAAATTCTTCAAGGCAATTGTTAATTCATATAATTCAAATTTGGTTATGCAGAGTAACTGAGATGCACATTAATTTCTTCATTATATTCTTTCAGAAGTTAACTATTTTTTTTTTCTGTAAGTTATGTGCATCATAAAATAAGGCATGCTGGAGAAGATATTTATTTACAAGTGAAATATTCTAAATTATTTCTAAAATCAAGAATTTATTAAATCGAATACAACAAATCACGAATGTGTTCGATTCATTTCGGGCATCCCTGAAACCTAGCTCCGAAGTTAGTCTTTCAAAAACACCCTTGAGTTTTTTTTTTTGGTGGATGAGATCAATAGCTCGGAAAATAATACTGCAATATGAAGCTAAGTTTATTTGTCTCAGTAGATTAAATGCATTGAGATAGAATTGTTATGAAAAAATTGAAATTAAATCAACAATTATGATAAAATAATTGCATATTTATACATATACAGTGCATAGGGGAATATAAATCTTAAAATTAAAATAAATTTGCTCAATAGTACGTAAAAGCATAGCCTATCATTTATTAAGTGAATTTGCTCAAGGAAGGTTATATACGTCAACTCCAATGAAGACTCATCTCTGACCAAAGTTAAAGGCACTCATTCAGAAGTAAAGGAAACTTATCTCTGAGCAAAGTTACAGGCACTCACTAGTAAAGGAGACTAATCTTTGAGCGAATTTACGGGCACTCACTCAGAGGTAAAAGAAACTCATCTCTGAGCAAATGTGAGGCACTCACTCAGAAGTAAAAAAAATTCAACAACACTTAGCATCCAAGTCAACAAAGGCAACGAGGTTTCTCGTGATCAAAGCCAGAGTCATTGAGAATCGTGTAACGAAGTTGACCATGCTCGCTATGACACGAATAATTATTTTTTCGGAAAGTTTAGCAGAACTGTGAATGATACTTCATATTCGACCATGAAAATAGATGATTTTATTAATTCTATCCAAGTATGCTCAAAGCAAGGTGCTGATAAAAGAGTTAAAAACGACCTCTGTTGCACAAAGAGCAATATGTTAAACCACCTCAAATCTTTTAACGTTATGGGGTGAAGAGTTGGAATATTATTTACGCAGCCCAAAAAATTTGACCCAATATTAAGAAAAGAATACCGAAATGTGGCAACAAGGCAGTAATTGAAATATGACAATATCTATTTTCTGATAGTACTGCGATATATTGTTTCTTACACATGAACCGCTATCTACAGACATATTTGTGACAGGGATTCTTTTATCAATGCTATTTCTGCTTTTAGTTGGGACTTTGATTTGAGCAAACTTGCAACTCTTCTATCAGAACTCTTTCTACTTTGGTTGAGTGATTCGACTCTATTTCGAGCATATTTGTGACTTGCTAATTCTGATCATTGGCATCTTGAGTAATAAATACACAGTTAAGAATGAGAATATAAACTACAATCAAATAATAAAGTTATGTTGAAATACTTTCAATTATAGAAATAAAGCCTAAAAAATTTCTGAAAACACAGCTTGAAGTTTGAGTTGAATGAACGGTTATAATGCTGGGCGTTAACAGTAGTTGTCCTTTGTAACTTCACAGGAAAATAGGGTACTCCCGAAGTATGTGAACCAAGATGGCGGACACCGGAACGTAGTACGTGTACTAGGTTAGGGTTAGGCCATAATTTTATTCCAATTTTCCTTATTTTAGTTCTATTACGAGTCCAGGGACTAGCAAGTGACTCCCGTAGTATTTGTACTTGAAATATGGCCCAACCCTAACCTGATACACATACTACGTTCCGGTGCCGACCATCTTGGTTCACAGACTTTGGGAGCAGCAAAAAAAGTCTATGAATAATTAAGTTACTTGAGATGAACCAATATAAAATGATATTCTAAGGGGTAGGAAATTACTTTTCTGAGTGGGCCTGTTACAGATAATACTTGGTTACTGGGCCGGAGGCTCAAAACTACGAATAAGAAACAGTCCATTCACAAATATATAGCATAACAGGCTGACTGAAACACTTTGGACATCCATAACTGGCCCGTGGATCGCAGTTTGCCCACCCCTATTCTAAGTGATTCAGAACAATGCCGGGGGTTTACTTAACGAAAACAAGCCCATGTATCACTTGTCGTAATTCCAGAAATGCAAGTTCAATTTGCCTCTAATTGTCTAGTTAACAAAATAAAGGTTAATAAAAGAAATAAATCTTGAATCAGTTTTACTTCATATTTCCTGGTAACCTTTGATCTTTGCTACTCGACCAAAGCATTTATATTTATTGCCTACTTATACAAATAAAATGAAAAATTAAATATCTATTAATTCAAATCTATTTTTACTTCCTTGTTCCTGATAACTTTTGACCTTTGCTACTTCAACCATGAAATCATGCACTAACTGCCTTATCTCAGGGTGCTTAGCAGAGTAGTGCTTCACTCCGTAATCCTCGTGCATTCGAATGAAACGAATGTGAGGAGATTTTGTCATGGGGTCAGAGGTCGTCTTTTTGTACAGAGTCTCACCGAGATGAATGTCGATTCTGTAAGGAATGGAATACTTTGGTTTGAGAATTGGATTTTTTTGTTTCAAAAGAAAGCGAATCCGAATCGATTAGGAAGCGAAGCTAATAGGGCCTACCAACTAAACTTTGCATTAATGTTGCATCAACACCATGCAAATATTGCTTTTACAGGGCGCTCCAGAAATGTGTCAAAGGGCAACCAGTTTTCCTGTAATCAAAGCCAGAGTCATTGGAAATCGTTTGACTTGATTTGAGAGACGTGTAACAAAGTTGACCATGCTAGCTAAGACATGACTCAGTGTGTCTTTGGGAAGCGCTCCAGAAGTATGTGTACCAAAATGGAGGTAACTAATTTTGTTCATCTACTTAACATCAAGTTGTGTAAAGTGACTGAAACCTATGGGCAGGGGATATATTTACTTGGCTGACACAAACAGTCCCCGAACACGTAATAGAACTAACATAAGAAAATCAGAATGAAATTGTGCCCTAACCTGGTACACATACTACAGGAGTACCCTTTTACAAACCCTGGCTTGCTTTGAGCATGGGAAATTCTGATGAGATATCAATAGAGAGTGGAGGGTAGGATTTACATATTTATCCCGGAGGAGAGAAAAGCCGCTAGGACAGCGTAATCATATAGCGAACCGCAGCCTCTCGTCCGATTACCATTCCTTGTCGGTTATGGGATTGTTTAGCCAGTTATTTGTTTTCCAATGCATGGACGGACATTTTATTATACTTTTGGGGACAAGAAAATTGGGGCGACCGCTCCTCCCCCTTCCCGACTTTCGGTTTTTTTTTAAAGTTGTGCAATCATTAGGCAACTTGCTGCAATATATCTGCTCAAGAATAGGTTGACAGAAAAGAAAAATCCGCTTAAAATGCGAATATTATACTTACAAGTAGTCCTACATACTTCATAATTGGGCAGACTGCACCTCGCATGGGTCAAATACGCAGTTTACTTATGATGTCATAAAAGACGAAAAAGGAGCTAATCGGTTAATTATTTTGTTTTAATCAATCTGACAATTAGGGTATTATAGCGCTTGTTATGCTGAGGAGTCAAAATAAACTTATATTAAATACCGTACTGTAAGACCGTACCGGTAAATATTGTAAATGATAGATGATGATGAATTTACGAGACATAACTTGATGATGAAGGTTACATGAACCACCTAACGCCAGTAAACTGTTCTGCAAGCCATATTCTCAAAAATAACATGTTTTGAACCTGTGAACTCTTGAGGAGCGCCACGTAAGCGTGTTAATTACGCTAGGACGATACACCAACTGGCACCTTATTTTAGTTCTATTACGAGTTCAGGGACTAGCCAAGTGACTTCGTAGTATTTGTACCTGAAATCGTTCAGATGTCCGCCATCTTGGTTCACATACTACGGGAGTACCGAAATGAAACAAAAATATAAATTTCACCTTAGATAGTGGAAAGCAGTCCGCGGCATCGTATGTATTCGTGAACGGAGCTTCAAGTATCAGACAGTCAGGGAGTCGAGTGCCATCTTTCTGGTCGTACATGAGCGATAGCGCCCTCGTGCTGATGTAAGTGCCGGGTGAAAACAAAGCACGATTGTCACATCTTTTTTCTGGAGCTGAGTGATTAAATACATTAAGTGTCAGAAATTTAACAATTACTGATTCGATTTTTTTAACTTGGTAATCAGGGGAATAACATAAAGGGGAATTCCCTATTGACAGGCAACTGTGTTGTGCATGTATAAGTTGACCCCCACACGATCAGGGTTATGCGCTTATAAAGCCGAAATTTAGTGTGATTAGAGTGAGGTGCATATAAGCCGACCCTTCAGTTTGGGAACTTTTTTTTGGAGTATAAACTGTGCTTATATACAATTTATATATGGTATACCTCTACTTTGCTGATATTAGCCATATGATTAAGCAGTCTTTTTGGCTTTTTTCACCCCTGAGACAAATATGATAAAACATAATCCAACCTGCTTGACCGTCCACTTATACACGCTAATTGCATCCTCCACGACTCTTGTTGGGCTCGGCTGACCGGTAGAGTCCGCAAACCCACTGTAGTCAAAAGCTATGATGTGGAATCCTTGGTGAAAATGGAAGAGATTTTATTTGTGTGAATGAGCAGATTGATACAACAAGAGAGCAACGCTCAAATATATGGACACGTGGACCAGAGCGAAGCAGTCCCTACCTTTGACGTTATCGATACCGTAACCTCAAAATACTTCGAGTTTTCAGTCGCAAGAATTTTCACAGTCAGCCGTCACGCTTGGCGGATTAAAAACCGTGTTCCCATAATTAAAAAGTAATACAGCGCAATTTTGGATGAAATATTAGATCTCATAAGATTCATAGAAAATTTAGGAATAAATAAAAGTAATAGCCTTCTGGCAAAAAAATCAATCTTTAACCACTGTAAATTTCAAAGCAATTGGTCCAGTATTCGAAGAGAAAAGCGATTTTTAATGATAATGATGAGGAAAATCAACAACATAATATTGAAACGATCGTTATGTCCACTGACGTGTCCAATACCAATAAATAGTGAATGGGATGATCTAGGCCAGAGCTACTCAACTTTCGATAGATTCGGACCGCACCTAATTCTTCATTTTGGATCATTAGCCCCACTTTTGAAGTTTTCTTTTATAAATTGACTTTTATAGTTTTGAATATATATGAAAATAACTATAACACCATAACAAACAATCTTGATTTGCTAATAATCATTAGCCGGCCGAGGAAGTGCGCGTTTAAGGATGCCGAAATATAATTTCTGTAAAGAACGGACCCAAATAATATAAAAAAAATAGTTGAGTAGCCCTGGCCTAGGCCACGATTCGGCAACATTTGGCATCAAAAGAGCCATATGGCATCGTCTACCCCTGACATGGGCAAACTACGCAAGCCAAATCTGGCCCGTTGGGTTATTCAGCCTGATGCTGCCACAATTAAAAACCAAATTTTGATATTCTATCGAAAAATAGGAATTTGTTGAGATTGAGATAAAATGTAGTTTTGGCACGAGGCTTATTGTTTTTCACTTTTGTAACACTGTATATATTGTTGTATATGTATGTAACATTTACGTCACACTTACATGGCCCATCAGTGTAGATGGGCAAAATTTGGGCCCCAGGTCCAAAAAACTTGCCCACCCCTGGTCTATACCAAACTCAAACCTACTCGAGCCACAACATGTACTCTAATGTCAGATACTATTAGAACTATCGAAAAACCACTTATGATGCAATATTCTGGTTCTAACTAATTTACCAACGCTGTCTCACAATTAGTTAGGGTAGACCAGCGATCAGCAGCATACGACTCTTTGTTTTCGGAGCTCTGGCTTCCGTGAATCAAAGTGGCAACAGCCGTTTTTGTTAGAAGCAGTGGGGATTCAATGAAAGTCGGAGACATAAAGTCTATTACTACTCACTAATTACACATGACAACAGATATAAGTCGTGAGCGGTACAATAGGTCGCATCAAAGTGATTCAATTCTGTCTAAACAAACTTTTTCTTTTTAATTTCAAGTTATTTTTATTTTGTCGTAAACTGAATTATTGCATCATAAGTGGTTTTCCGGTAGTTTTAATAGCCACTGACATTAGAGTAGATGTTGCGGCTCCTAGTACATTTGAGTTTGACAAAAAGGATTCAACCATATTATTCATACCTGATTTCTGCAGCTCCGAATATAAATCTCTTCGATGCTTGAAACCACGATGAAACGAGTTGCCATGGCAATAAATGATGATTTTCTCAGGGTCTTGTAATGACCCTGATTTGACCTCTGGAGTATCGTACTGAGTGACTGGCGGAATATGCCAAAAGCCTAACGCCGCCAAACGTACTTCCACTCGAAGACTTCACATAGCAGTTCCTGCTCTCTTTAAGATTGTAGGCCTGAAGTAAAAGAAGAAAATTTAGAGTTAGGAATTGATCACTATAATAAGGGTATCTGGTTGAAGCAAGGTTTAGTGCATTTACTCATAAGTGAAGGGACATATTACTGATCGGAGTTATTAAGGTCACTTACTCAGAAGTAAAAGAGACTAATCTCTGAGAAAAGTTACACGCACTCCCTCAGAAGCAAAGGAGACTCATCTCTGAGCATTGTTACAGGCACTCATAAGTGAAAGAGACTCATCTCTGAGCAAAGTTACGGGTACTCACTCAAAAGTGAAGGAGACTCTTCTCGCAGAGTTACTCCCACACACTCAGATAAGGAGACTCATCTCTGAGCAAAGTTATGGGCACTCATTCAGAAGCACTCACTCATACAAACGTCTTGTAGTAGGTCTTACTTTGTCTGGTTTGTTCAGCTTCAGTAACCATACAGGTGGGCAGACTCTGTTGAGAAATAATCCTTCAAAGACGATTTTTGGATAAATCTTGAAAATCAGCGGAATTGTGACGTAAACCAAGAATCCATAGATCACAAAATAACATGAGGAACTGAATATTCCACTCATGCATTCGTAAAAAATTGTCGCCATTTTTAAATAAAGAGAGAATTCATTCGAACGCAAGTATGATGGGGTCCAAGCAATATCCAAGGGAATGAAATATTGTAGAAAATTGGCTGATGCAAATCTTGGAGAAGTTCAAGTCAGCAAAAGAAACCCAATAAGAATTGCACGATACCAAAGGTTGTTTCTGCTATCACTGTATCAGCATCTGTGTGGTATGTTACCACACTTGTTATTAAAATATTATTTCATTCAAATTATTATTCCATAAGAAAGTCTACTTCAACCTGTTAACATTATCTGATGATTGAATATGGAACCTAGTAGGTACAGTACGGTAGTAGTGACCTGTTTGCTACCATACTGCCATACCAGACTACATGAGACCCTTTCCTCTTCCCGGGATAATATAGGATTTACATATTTATCCCGGGGGAGAAGAACGCCGATAAGACGGCTTAACTATATGGCTAACCACGGCCTCTCGTCCAGTTTCCGTACCAGGCCGGGATTAGTTACCGGTACCGGTATGTATTTATTTGTTATTCGGAAGCACAGAAGCATGGACTTAAATAAATATGTATCCTATTATTTGACAAACTGTGCGAGTTACGTACCAATAAATGTCAAACGATCATTATAGTCTATATAACACACATTTATCTCAATTGAAATCAATTTCGCTTTTGAGAAACCGTACCGGTATATTGCAGATTAAAAATCTCAGAAAATCGGTCTCCGTTCCTAACCAGCGTAGTGCGAGAACACGCCCTCCGATGGACGTTTGCGTTAACTGTGGGAGCGCTGATTGCGAATTTGGGAGCGCTGTAATGATATTTAACAATTTTATTTACTCAGGATGGGATTTACTTAAATATCCCAGGAGTGAAGCAAGCTGATACGATGACTTAATAATATAGCGTACCACAGCTTCTCACATTAATGCCAATGCTATGCTGGGTGTGCAACCTTTATTACAGGGGGGTCAGACAACTGGGTGAAGACGCGGGCCGCACTTAGAAACTATATCTACGAAAAGCTATGGATACGGAAAATCCAACTTACGAGTATTCTTCTCGTAAAAATATTGCGTAGGCCAACGTAAGATTTTCTACACACAAAAGGCCTAACTAAAAACCGAAAACTTAAAAAATGTGTGTAGTGATATTCGTTTAGTTTAGGTTAATTTAGGCGCGGCGGTGTGGCTCAACGGGCTAAGCGTTAGGAATACGCTCGCCATCGCACCTCTAATCACTCTGCGTGGGTTCGCAGGTTTGAATCCCATGCAGGGATGGTTATGTGCGAGAGGATTGCTGGACTCCTCACCGTCGTTGGGTGGTTCACGTAACCGCTGGTCGGTTACGGCTTCCTCCACCACCAGGTCCATGCTTCCGAAAACAAACAATACAGTAAAACTAATCCCATATACCCGACTTGGAATGGTGACCGGACGAGAGGCCGTGGTTCGCCATATGGATAAGCCGTCTTATCGGCTTTCCTCTCCCCCCGGGATAAATATGTAAAATCCTATCCGTAAAAATCCCAATTTGATGCAGTGCTTGGAGAAGGGGTGTCCAATTTAGAATATCGCGACCTTCGAATATCGTTTTTCGTGACGCAAACATCCTAGCGCCTCCGTTAAAAACAATTCAAGTTTATTTCATTTTTTTTTATCGTAATCGAAGGCAGCCGCGCCCATTGGCCAGTTTGTTTCCGGCGGGTACGTGCAATGTCTTGCTAGCTAAATTTAGGCTTATGCTGTGCAGCCCAGCGCTAGCCCACTTGCTGGAGGTAAATGCGTTATTTTGTTTGTTTCGTTGTTTTCCGTAACGTATCACATGTAAAATCAATACTAATTGGTCCTGTTCTGACGTTTACGTGAATGTAACATTGAACAACGTCTTTTTGACGAAGGCGTTATCTACAAAAAAGCATGCTTGGGCGAATAAGAAAATTCTCAATGCTTGAAAACGGCAGGCTATCTTTCTTCTTTTGCTGTAAATAAAAAAAAATCTAAATTCGAATTATTTGTATTATTAACGTCAATTCCTTTCTATTTTTCGAACTAAACCCGATATTTGGATAGAGAATATGCGCATGAACTCTCGATAGCAATATGGTCAATGAAGACAGCCGGGATGGCTTCAAATGTAGGCCTATGTAGTAAAATAGGAAAATGTAAAGTCACAAAATCACAGCTAAGGGGTCGTTGTCTTCGGAGGCGTTCCGCTTTGAAGTCACAAAAATATGGTAACCCTAGCTAAATTCAGTGAATAGACGATGATACAATGAAAAAAGTGTTTTTGAATTTCATTTGTGTTTGCTCATTTTCGTACATTACGTTCTGCCGCCTGCTCTTGCTTACACCTCAATGGCAACCCTTGGCAAGCGTGCCATACTTGGCACGCAAGCCCATTTATTCGGCACGCGAGCGAGGCCTTGAAAACGAGATCATTCTCCTTCAGATAAAAAGTTTCAAGACTCTGAGTTATCTGATAAAACTCGGTGTTCGTTTATTCATTATGGTTGTTAACACTCCATTATTTATTTAAATTCTTTTTGTCCTTTCATGACGAGTGGCTACAAAGAAATATATTATGACAGAACAGATGAGTCAGCTTTGGAGAAGAGCGCTGCATTGATTTTGCTACATTCTTACATAATATAGTTCGTCTGTACCACCGTTTTTCTCTATTTCTGCTTGATTCATTAAGTTGTGAAGCTCATGTTGGTTAGAGTTACTTGCTAACATACTGTTATGAATTGATTTCGAAAAAAATATAAGCGATTAAGAAAGGGAATGCAAGAGAAGAGTGCAAAAAAACGAACCATTGCGTGATTGCTAAACTGCTATACAATAATATGTCAGAGTTTCTTCGGATCTCAAAACGAAATAGATTATTTACAGGTAGTGTGCGTCCCCTACTTATGAAATTTTGTACCTACGAAGGTGCTTCCGGAACGAATTAATTTCGTAGGTAAAGTTTCTACTGTAGTTGCAAGCACAAAATTTTTTTTCCTTTTTGTTATTGATCTTACGGCACTGTTAGGGGTTCTTGCAGAAATGGCGCGTTAAAACTCATAAATTAACAACTGCTATTCAAATTTATTTTCACACCGGCTAAACGATTTGAGTGGAAAACACGTTTTTATAACGTGTATTTTTCAACAGGATTTTACTAGCTAGTTTTGCTAATATGACAGATGCACGCAGGCGCTACTATAGGCTTTGCGACGCAATGAGATTGGAATTGCTCTCACACACCAGATTAACAAAACTAAAAACTCGTTTCGCGGGCACACCATTCAAAATTGGCACTTCTCCGCGGGACGCACAATTTTTATTTGCGGGCCGCAGTTTGCACATCCCTGCTACTGCTATATCTGAATGATTTCTCAACTGGCGGACCGCGGTCCGAATCTGGACCTTTTGAGTATTCGATTCGGACCGCGTCTAATTCTTTATTTTGGATCATTGGCTACTTTTCGAAGTTTTTTTTATAAAATCACTTTTATAAGTTTAAATATATATGAAAAGAACTATAACGCCATAATAAACAAACTTGATTAGCTAATAATCATTAGTCGGCCTAGGAAGTGCGTGTTTAAGGATGCCGAAATATAATTTCAGGAAAGACCGGACCCAAATATTCTTGAAGTTTTGTATGCGGATCCTCCGTAAAAATAGTTGAGTAGCCCTGGTATATAATACAGTAAGGGCCAGGAGCCTCGGTGACCTAACCGGTCTTGCATACTGATCCTCAAAATAATGATCAACCAATTATTGTTAAATTAAATTATATTTTCTGTTGCTCCAAATGTATCATGATGTTGACATTGTTTGTAATAATAAATATAACTCTCTCTCGTCCGGTTATCACTCCATTTACCAGTCCATGTTGGACATAGTTAGCCAGTTATTTAGTTTTCCGATGCATGGACTTGATGGCGGAAGAAGCCGTAACAGACCAGCGATTACCTGAACCACCCCACGATGGCAAAGAGTTCAGCATAAGGTGGTTCACGTAACCGATGGTCGTTTAAAACAGTGGTCGGCAACCACCGGGCCGCGGCCCATCGCCTGTCCGCAGAGAGGTGACACAAAAACGGACAAGGCCATAATAAAATCTCTACAATCTAACCACAAACCCTACGACTAAAAACAGCACCCAACAGCAAACCAGACAAACACAACGCACTTGAGCAGCATGTCTGACTTCACAAACAATTACCATGTCAGTATGCCGCAATAATGCTGGGTCAGTTGTTTCCACTGCGCCCGTATAAGAGTGTCTTTCATCACTTCGTATCTTCAACAAAATAATTATCGCTAAGAACGTGACTACTCCACTACTAGCTCGTAGCTAACCGGTCATGCCTAGTCAGTGCTAATTCTATACTTCAGAATCCGGATAATTATAAAGTTAGCACATCGGGTAAAAAATTAGTTATGGCAAAACAAACATCAACCAATACAGAGTCAGAAGGGGTACAGGAATTGTTACCTTTCCTAAAATCTTATTAATGTGAGGCCTGATTTTCAATATTGATAAGTACAAAAACGAAATAGTCCGGATGTAGAAAACACGTTACGTGTGTCAACTTCGGCCATATCTCCAATATGGGAACAGTTAATCGCCAGCCAACAAATGCAGATATCGCACTAAATGGCATCGCCGTCGTATTTAGTATATTGTCAACATAAATTTTCCTAATGCGTATAATTTATTGCATAGGCTTAGTCCGTTTGTGTAAAGGTGGTCCACCAAAATTTTGGTCAGGCTTTACCGGTCCGTCACTTGGAAAAAGTTGCCGACCACTGGGTTAAGGTTTCCTCCATCATCGCTTGACCTAGTGTTTTCGGTGTCCGGAATTTATCGCTTAACATAGAATATTACGACTTTTTTAAATTTATTGTAATGTTTCGAAATAATACCAGTTGCGACTTATATGGCGCTTGTGGCATTTCACCAGACTTGCTCATTAGACAGTATTTTCATATTTATCCCGGGGGAGATGGAAACCGATGAGATGTCTCAACAACCATCGTCCTTATCAGACAAAACGGTGAGAGATTATTTGGCATGTTACTTATTTTATATATATACACATACTTGATAATAGAGGGAACCATAATCAACTAGCGGCACATGAACCACCCTGCGGCTTCGAGAGGCCAGCAGTCCTCTCGCAGATAATTAACCTACACGGGATGCGAACCTGCGTTGGGTAATCAGAGGATATCATATTATCGACTAGAGAAGGGGTGTGCAAGCTGCGGTCCGCGGGCCTCAAGGAAAAATTGAGCGGCCCGCAGAAAAGTTCCAATTTTGGAGTTGTGGCGATTCACGAAACAAGGTTTTTAAATGTAGTTTAATCTGATACATGCGAGCAATTCCAATCCTTCTTGCGTCGCAAAGCCTACTATACCCGAGTCCTATTTATTATCTATATTTATGAAGTTATAATGCCCTACCAGCTAGTTTCTGTGAATCAAACATCGCGATTCACAAAGCTATCACTTGCCGAGCAGCGAGCGATTTAAGCAAAGTGAAGAACGAATGACAATAAATTAGTAAGAACGGGCAATTAACCTAAAAAATGGAAAAGCAGTTTGAAAGATTTTACCATTGAAAGATACAGAAGCTAAATGAGTTTTAGTTTCAGCATATCAGTTAATTATGTCTAAATCTTGCCTAGAATTAGATAGGTCTGTGGTGGAAGCCGACGAGACAGCTTATTCATACAGCCTTTAGTCTATTTACTAGTCCATGTTGGGATCAGTTAGTCAGTTATTTGTTTCAGATGCATGGACTCTATGACGAAGGAAGCCGTAACCGACCAGCGGTTATGTGAACACGCTACGATGGCGAGGAGCCCAGCAATCCTCTCACGCATAATTTTATCTTTGGGGACCAGAATTGTACTTAAAAAATGCAAACGCGTATGAACAATAGTAGCCTATGCATGTATATTGTACTAATATAGTAACTTGAAAGAGCAAAGCCGTAGTTGGTTTGGCAATTGCAGGTTTTCGTATAATTAAGTTCAGTTGCGAATTGGGGAGAAAAGTAAACCTATTAGAATAAATTTTGTATAAACATGTAAGAAAAGGCTGCGTGATTTGAGCACAGAGTTGAGTGCTGGATAATTCCCAATATTATATCGGGTTGAAGTTAAAACGGAACAAACAAACACGAAGAATTCTTGTAGAAAATGAAAGAGCAGGGCCGGTGGGAACTGCGGGGTCTAATTAGAAATCTGATGGCAGACCCCCTACTCTTCATATTGATATTTATGGGTCTTTATATAAAAAAATAAATAAACATTTAATACTTGCTATAAAACAAATTTAAGGTAATAGGATGTTTTTATTGTTTTACTTTTAACATCAAGAAATGCAAAATAGGCAATTTCATTATACTCTTTCAGAAAAATACTTTTCTAGCCATTTTATCAGCAAATTCATTTAAAATCAACAGCTTCAGCAATTTTGCTTTCTATAAGAAGCATTGACAAACTGTTGAGTCTTTCAATTGCTTATGGCGACATAACGATAATTTACTAAATTTACCATGCATAACAAATCAATATTATGAGAAAGATTATTTCACTTTATATTTTACGTTTTCAGCAGTATTTTGTATCTCATAATGCAGATAAATAATACAGAAAAAGACTAGCGCAGGGTGCGGGGCCCAATTTGATAAAAGCGGCCAAATCGGCTTGAAACCAGCCTTGAGGAAGAGATGTTACATCTTTGTTCAAAAATGGTTCCATCTATTAAAGTATTTTTATTGGCATTGGAAAATTTATTGGGGAATATCATTTATGTCAAGCGTACAGCCAGCATTCGGTTGCTACTCCATGTTTTGCGCTCAATGGTATTTCATAATTTTTGCTAGTTGCCTCTCCAGCGACATAGTGTTTTTAGTTACGCATTCATTTGCATTACGTCAAAAATTTGAAAATTATATAAAGCTGCAAATGTTACGATATCAAATAAATTGTCCCAAGTCGGTAAAAACAAGTTGATTTTTTGAAAAATATAATTTATACTTTTTTCGATTTTTGGCAAATATTTGAAAGTATCGACTTTTTATTAGGATGATTTTCTGTTGAGCAAAATATTCAAATCAATGACCGATACCAGCATTTAAAATGCCTTGCCGTATTAATTTAGCTTCTTTCAACATAACTCATGGTTAAAAATAAATGCATTAGCCAGCCTAATTTCACGGCCATCTATTGACATAAAAAGTGTCGTAAAATGTCCGATAATTAATTTTTGATTCGTATTTTCATACTTACGAAAATATAAAAGCAATAATAGTCTAACACGGCAATCCGTGGGCATAAAATGTTTGGTAAAATAGCCAGGTTGTAGATAACAGTTATATCATTGTTCATTGTTTGCAACTAGTTAATTATTCGGAATCCCTGACTGAAATATTTGATGAAATAAATGAAAATCAAAAGAAATTTCCATAAGACATAATGCGATAAACGGACCATACTTGCTAAATATTATAGACAGAATTGAAAAAAATAATTAAAAACAAATTGCTCGAAAATTTTGAAACAAAACGAAAAGTGATTATCTCAGACAGACATACTGAAGAAATGTGGAACAAATATAATTTTAAATCAAATATTCCAATAAAATCATCCTCGGATACGGCGTCTGTGACTCACTAGAAGCCATCGAACTCAACCCCAGTATCAGCAATCAGTGCTTCGAATCTTTTCAACTGATCATTGTTGAAGCCACATACCCACATCAGCAATTTTTCAACCTGACATTGACGAACAATTTCACTGATTGTAGATAATCCTTCATCTCCGAGTTTGCTGACTTTGTTCCAACTCAGATCCAAGCTCTTGATCTGAACAATACATATTGTTATCATATAATATTTATGAATTGATATATAGGTCATGGTTGGGATGCATATAGGTCAGTTTTCTACTTCAGTATTTCCCTTGAATACTTCAGATACTTTGACAGACAGTTTAAAAAACCTAGAAGAAGTGGTACGTGCTCACTCACCTAAAATAATTGAAATATTCCACACGCTCACACAAGTGATTACTCAGTTCAATGATTTGCTAATTGTGCCAAGCGCTACAAACCAGGGTTGAAGCTGTAATGTCTTGTTGGAGCTAGAGGCAAGCCTATCATCTTAGCTGGAGTCGCAGCTTCGAGAGATTTTAGTGACTCCAGCCCTCAACCAATTAATTTCTTTTTCCAATTCATAATTTTCATATAAACTTTATACAAATGATAAAATTCATCTTTATTCAGTTTTAAAATTTTTTTTAATAGTTAATTATTAATTATAATTTATAATTTTAATTTTGGAAATTTATATAATTGAAATTTTCATTTTATTTTGAATTATTCAATTTTTTAAGCGTTGGTCTTAACTATATGTATGTTCCCCCCAACATTGACTCTGCTTATACTTTATACAATTGCAAAATCTTTGATGCATAATTGGGATTGATTTGGAGAGATGACGCTCAACTGGTTTACATAACGCAAGCCATAATTTTTCTTTGAAATATTTAACCATGCGCCGTTCACAGGTAGGCCTACTGGTAGATAATTTAAGCCTATCGCAGGTTTTTCAGGAATAATTTTTGATTATTGCAATTGAACTGAAACTTGTCGGAATTTATATTAACATTGAAGGTATTTGATTATCAACAAATTCAAACACAACTGATAACTGGATAACACAAAAATGAGGCAATGTTCACAACCTTGTTGATTATCTGTTTGAGCGAAAGAATTGTCTGAGTGGCTACACAAATTGCAATTGTTACGATATTGTTGACTTATTAGTGATAGGTTATTGTTACAAAATAAACAAAGAAGTCGAAGCTCAGGAAAATATCAATTGCATAACAACTTTTTAATTCCCAGATTCCCATCTCATACCCACCACCTCAGGGTGTGATAAAATGGGTAGGAAATGCTGAAACCTGGGATATTTCGGTCTGTAAACTCATCAAAAGGCTGCTGGCACAGAGCTTCGCTCTGGGTAAAAAACATGTGATAATGGCGCACAATACAGCAATGTCCAGAACATTTCTAAATTATAGCAAACATATGGTCAGGTTCAGGTATATAAACCAGTTTTACCTTTGCATTACGGGTGTTTTTCTTGAATGCTTTCATTTCTTCTGCTGTCAGATTGCAATAAACAGCATTGAATTCCCTCACCTGACATTGTAAAACAACTAATCCAATTTCTCCAAAACCAGAAGTGCCACGATTCTCGTTTAAACGGATATCTAACATATCCAACTGAGATAAATAAGATCAGTGAACAAATTGAAATGAACTCGGTCACAAAATGTAATTTAGTAAAAGAATAAAAGTGTGAGAAATAAATAAAGCAAACCATAAAGACTGATTGATCGAGATAGACAAATTTTTCATCAAAAATTCAATAGTCTTCTGTTTTGATGGAAGTTCAACCCAAACAAAACTTGATAGCTAATTAAAATTTTACTTGTTAATTGAGACATATATACTGCATGGACAAAAAGTTTTGTCACCACATTGAAAGAGCCTAGAACAGCGGTTTCCAACATTTTTACCTTGCGGACCGGCAATACAAAAAAATAAGACTAACGGACAGGCAATCCGTGTCCAAATGAACACCAACTAATACGATTATTCGCCACAGTGTTAATCCCGGCATTGGCAAGCGAAATTAAAGATAATAAATAAGAATTTAGTTACGAAAAATTAGTTTTTATGGTTGGTTTCGAGATCAGGCAATAATGAATTTGGAATGGACAATGCAGAAGAATCACATAACCACCAGAGATATGAGTTCAAGTAGTTCTTTGGAAACAACTGTAAACTGACAAAGAACATGCAAAATCATTAAAGCAAGGCAATGTTCACAACCATGCTGAATATATGTCTGAGCGAAAAAAGTGTATAACGACTTCACACATTGTAATCGTCATACTGGTCATTGTTAAAGAAATAAACAAGGAAATCGAAGCTCAGGAAAATATCACAGTTTAAAAATCTCGGGTTCAAATACCATTATTACCACATTACCACTGGGAGTGATCAATTGGTTAGGCAATGCTGAACCCGGGGACCTCCTGAAGTATGCGCACCAAGATGGCGCACAACCTGAACTCAGGTTGTGTACCAAGGTAGGGTTCAGTTTATGCGACATCTTGATGCGCATACTTTAAGAGTACCGAACCCAGAGATATTTCGTTTTGTCAAACTTATTAATGGCGGCCTGCACAGAGCTTTATTCAGGATCAAAAGCATGTAGTAATGTCGCAAAAGACAGCAAAATATTGGAAACTATAGCATATATATGATCAGGGGCCAAATTCGCCCGAGCACGTAAACAGTAACCTTGTCTCTCAAAAATGCAGTTACGTACTCTCGTTGAGTGCGATTCACGAAACATCTCTTAAAAACTTCACGCACGGTCACGAAAGTTCTCTCGAAATCTTACGCACGGTCGTCGTTGAACAAAAACCACTGTATGATCTCTCAACTGTATCAGTCAATGCCGCTAGCCGCCCTGAGCGGACAAGCTCATTTTGCGACGATCTGTAGGGTTTCCATGTTTACAGACTGTGTTTTAAAATTTGGGTAATATAGGGTAATCTATGGATATATATATGAAATAAATGCTGGAGTACATATTGTGAATTACTTCTGTGACCGACAATAAAATAGATGAATGAATGCAATCCCATATTTGATGTTAGTACGCTGTTAGTTGGCATATATTGGGGGTCCACAGCTACTAGACTACAGTCACTTTTACTTAAGTTAGGCGTTTGAGAATTTTTGATACCAATTTTTCACGAAGTTTGTAAACACCACAGCATTTGTTGGGGTGCATATGGCACATACTTGTCTTAGGCCAGTAAGGTATTGAACATGTATCCCGTCTTAGGTATACCGTTTAATTATTGTATGGATACTGTTACAAATAAACACACATACATTTTAACCTGAATTCATGCTAAGAACATGCCGAACTACTGTTAACGAGCAAAATTTTCCCCTCGTTAGTTTGCGAGCACTCCGGCGCGTTAAAGAACTTTAGTGAATACCGATTCTCGTTAAAATGAGAGAAGAAGGCACTTTACGGGACGTCTGTTTTGGCGCGCAAAAAATTCTCTCGAATATTAACGATACTTCGAGAATACCATTTTTGCCTTTTACGAGAAAGTGGGTGCTTAATTAACACATTGAACGATAAAGAAGTTTGGTGAATGGCGCCCCAGGTATATAAACTGATTTTTACCTTTGCATTACCAGTGTTTTCCTTGAATGCTTTCATTCCTTCTGCTGTCAGATTGCAATCCCAAGCCGACAATTCTCTTACCTGACATTTTGAGACAACTAATCCAACTTCACTTACGCCTGCAGTGCCAAGATCCTTGTTCCAACTGATATTTAGTATATCCAACTGAAATAAATAATATCAGTGAACCAATCTAAATGAACTGGGTCACAAATTATGATCTTGAAAAATAATAAAATTAAGCGAAATAAAAAAAACTATAAAATCTGATAGATCAGGATGAAGACAATTTTCTTATATCTAGAATCCAACAGTCTATTGTGTTGATGACAATTCAACCCAAACAAAATCTGATAGCTGATTAAAAATTTCCAAGTTAATTATGACATGTATATTTCATGAGGAAATTGTTCATTAATTATTAAGTTTTTCAATTACCAGACCCCAATTTTGTTTAATTTTATCGAAAAATGTCCTCGTACAAAGGAGAAAATACGGTGTATTTGGCTTTTTCAAGAGGCATTTTGTTTAAATTGACTTATACATACAGTTGTTATTGCAGTGGCTAATAGGATTGCATTGCCTTTAATACAAAAAACCTCAGCATCAAACAAGAATGGACAGTCACGATAGTCACGAACGAAGCAAAATAGTGTTGAAAAAGATAAACAAGCTCAATGCAGACGCTGCAAACATGTGTTGAAAATTCAGAAGGTTCCCCCTATGCTTGCATCACATAATGAATGATATACAGGGTGTCCATAAAGTTCCTTCACAATTTCAATTTTATTATGATGTCAGTTTTCAATATTTTTACTTCATTTATTACATCTGGCCTAAAGAATATATGGCATCAATAAATATCCTTTGCAATTTAAAAAAATTTCAAGACTTTATGGACACCCCATATATATCAGAATTATATTTCTCGAATATCAATTCTATAACGAACCTATTAAGTAACGTAGTAGTGAGGAACTTTGTTCAAATAAAAACTTTACTTTTGATAGCTTAACATATGAATTAAACTGCATATAATAATTGTCCTGTGCTGAAAAGAATTTTTATCTTCTCAAACAAACTTATTGAGTAGGATAGTGGTGAGGATTCGCCTTGGTTTCTAATTTTGATTTTTTGCAGAAATGTATTCTCATGATTCAAAAAAATTGTCCTGTATGAATAGTATGATCCACAAAAGTCCCTTTTCTTACATTTCGATCGAGGGGATCCCTCAAAATTCTTGGCTATACCCCTAGTGACGAGGGTAGTAAACGACGTCTAAAAACCATTTCAAACTATTATTGCTATGTATAGTGCAGAAAAATGTATTATTTATGGATGTGGTTCCCTTTGCAATTTGAAAATATTTTAAGACTTTATGGACACCCTATATATATCAGAAATATTATTGTCGAATATTATTATTATGACATCACGAATTGCAAATATCAGTTCAATTTTTGTCAAATGAAACATTTCCTATAATGCGATGCTTACTCATAGCTTTGCTTCGAACAACAATATTTAAAAAAAATTCTCCACAGACTTGCTTTGCTGTCGAAGTTATTCAAGCTATATAAGTGCGCAATTGCATTTATCTTGGTTGGTTCATTTGGATAGGGAAAGAAAGAAAGGGTTATTGGTGAATTTGCTCACTGCTGCGTCTTAAGGGTCTAAAAATCGTTCCAAGCTATGAAAATTGTCATGTATGATACAGAAAAGTCCCTTTTTTACATTTCGAAAGAGGGTAAACTCATTTTGAGGGTCTACCGATGTATCATAATGTATGTAAATGTAACATTTATTGATTATGTGGTATCAATAAATTCCCTTCGCAATTTTAGGACTTTATGAACACCTTATATATACATCAGACATCAAGTTCGAATAATATTTATATTTAATTAATAGCACAAGGGTATCATGATATTACTGATTTCAAATATCAATTTCTTTTTGTTCAAATTGAAACATCATTTTTGTGAGATAAACGGATGAGTAAAAAAAAATGCATATAAAATTTGTCCACTTCAGAAAATTATGCTGAACTGAAAAGAAATTTTGGTCTTTTCAAACAAACCTATTAAGTAACGAAGTAGCTTGGTTTCTATTTTGATTGTTTACGAGAAATATAGTCTTATGAGTTGAAGGAATTGTTTTCAATTAATTTTTGGAGACAAGTAGTGATATGAATCATATTCATAGTTTTCGAGAGTCTTGAGGGTTTAAAAACCTGTTTCAAGTTCCTAAAAATTGCTATGTATGATGAAGGAAACAGAAAAATGCTTTTTTTTTTACATTTTAAATAAGGGGGTTCTGACCCTTGAAACCCCTGGTTAAGGGGGTAAACTCATTGAGAGGTTCCAAAAAACCTGTCAGGCTACTAAAAATTGCTATGTGTGATACAGAAATTGTTTTTACAATTTAAAAGAGGGGGTCCCGACCCTCAAAACTCCCTGTGACGAGGGTAAACCCATTGAATAATGAGAGATAGCCGACATAGAGTGGCAACAATTTTTTGTTACAAGAAAACTTATGCTTCCTTTATTCTATAATTTACAGAGCCCCACTAATTTGACAAACATATTAAAAAAGTGGTGCCAAAATGTGGGAAAAGCCATTACTTCAAACATGGTATTATTTATTGTAACTTATAGATAATGTCATATTTGAATTCACACTACCGTTGTCAAATTATTAATGCAGTCATTGTTTTTTGTAAAATAACAAAATAGGCCAAGTCAGTATTTAAAGTGAGTAAACAAATAGCTCGCGAAGCCGCTATATTTCTCTCGTGGAGCTCTTTCAAAACTATGCTATATTAGATATTCATTTATTCTGAGGGATGAACGTTTTGAATTACCAGCACATAAATGTTGGCCTTTAATAAGTCTACTACAGTGTTGAAAGAGAATCGATATTTTTAAACCTATGAAGTATATTTGATTGTATACAAGAATTCTGGTCTTTTTGTGTAGGTATGTCCAAGTCTGAATGCCCCTTTTAATTTTCAATATTCAAAACCAGTGGTTCTCAAACTTTATGAGTTCATGTTTTAGGATTTGTCAAGTCTTGCGCCTCACCTCCAAAATAACTAGCTACAAACAAACAAACAGATAATAAGGTGGAATATGTTTTGTCCAAAAAACACGTTGAAAATATGTGGATGCAACGTAAATATACAAAATAAAGAAATGTAAATATCCAAAATAAGGCGGGCGAGATCTAAGATATATTTTTATTATCTTCACACCCCCTCAAAAAATTGTTGTGTGTTGAGGAGATTCGAGTCATTGCCTCGATCAAACTCTGACTCGATTCATTCAAAATTAAATGGGCCGTGCTCACTCAAGAAACCAGTCCAGTAATTGTATGTATGTGTATTGTATGTATGTATGTGTAGTAAAGTCATGATCAAGAATTTTTGAAAGAGAATTAGAGTTAAAGTGGTGATTTCTGTGAAGGAAATGTTATTCTTATATATCACATAAAAACTGCTCAAACTATTCAAATCAAACGTTCAACGAATGGTTCCCTTGTCTCATTATCTGAATTTCTATTTGTTTATTGTTGAAATGGAAATATTATACCAATATTTTATACCCTTTGGATTTTGATTTTTGGATAATTTAATAAAATGAAACTGATGATTGGTTGGTAGTTAATGTCTTAATTTTTTTTCCTATTGTGATAAGAATGTTATGGCAGTGGTCGTATAGAGTCAAATTAGGGAGGGAGGGGGTGTTAGACTCAAATCCAACTTCTCGACGCCATAAAGTGTTTCACGTAACCACTGTTCGGTCACAGCTTCCATCACTACCAAGGATATGCATATGAAACATATAACTGTCTAACTAGTAGACCCGTACCGACATGGACTGGACAAGAGGCCGTAGTTCACTATATGTTTAAGCCGTCCTATTGGGCCAACTATAGTTAAGTAACAAATCCACTTTCCATTTATTTTAAACTTTTTTTGTCCAATAAAAGCAAGCAAGACTCCTTGGGGGGTACACACACAAGTGTAGTTTATAAATTCCCCGAAGGGTACCGATTACCATAAAGTTCAGGAAATTCTGTATTAGACCAAAATCTTCTTAGGGAATCTTTAATACCCTAGTTCTGCAGACTTACTGTTTTTCTGTTACAATTCGTTGGTTTGTTCTTATGTTTAATAAAGACCTGAATTTCCACTCTCGCATTGTTCTTCATTGAGCAAACTTAAGTAAATGTAAAAAGAAACGATATTTAGGGTCGAAGAACCCAATACTGGTTATAAAAACCGAAACCCGTGATTAAGCATAACAGTAATGGATATTAACATAAAAAATCGAACAATTAAAATTTGAAACTTCGTCGAGGCGACCTGAATTCCCACTTCCATACTGTCTAATAGCGACCAATTATTTTGAATGATTGAACAAGTTTAAGACTTATAGGTTGCATATTTGATCACTTTTTCATGCCATAATGTCGGTAAAATAAAAGATCAAGAAAACAATCAACTGTAAAAAGCAAAAATAATTCAGAATCAAATAAATGGTAATTCATTGGTGATTTGAGTTAAAATATGTGAACTTGGTGTTATACATTCAGATTCATGTATTTCCATAATTTGAAAATCGATGCACGAAAAGATTCAAAAATGTAAAAAAAAAGCATGAGAATATAATCGAAATCACAATAAAATTCAAATTTTCTTCATAGCATACAAAAATATCAAAAAAATTAATCGTGCAAAAAAAAAAAAACATGAGAAATTGACAATCATAAAATAAAATAATATGCATATGGCAACAAAAAGCACCAAGAATTGTCTAACAAATGTAACAGTGGTGTAAAAGAGGTAAGAAAATACCGAAAATACACAAAAAGTAGAAAAAACATAGGATACAACATATTTAAATGAAATTCTGACAATGTCAATGTTGGGGAAGGCCTGATTGATTGACTCTACTATAGTTGAAGTCACATTTTATTAAAGACTTGCAATGAATCGAGTTACACACCGGTTAGAGAGAGTCAGAGACAGCTTTGAGGGGTTTTAACTTATAAAAATAAAATGAAAAAAGCAATAGTTTTGATTGAGCAGAGCGAAAAGTTTACTGTTTGACTTATTCTTAGAGATTATTTCCTGAAATATTACAAAAGTATATTTTCATAGAATATGCACATTATTCGAGCAACAAATAAATGCGAACACTGCCTACGAATAAATTAAAGAAAAGCGATTTTTGCACATTAGGAGAGCGGTGCTCAAATACATGGACACGGGGGCTAAAATAAAAGTACTACGGGTATGAAATTTGTCCTTATCTACAACCATTAATGTGGAATGGCCACAAGTGGCGCAATTTTTACTTTTGATGACGTCAACACAAACAAATTCTTTAGATACCACAGAAATTTTCGAAATAAATGAAATAATAGCTTTTTCGCAAAAATACAACCTTGAACCACTGGAATTTTTAAAGCAATTGGTCCAGTATTTAATGAAAAAAGGTTTCTTTATATATAACAACAGCAAAAAAGGTCATTTTAACAACAACATAATAAATACAATAAAATAAAAATTATTTTAGCTTGGCAAGTTGTTCTGCATTTGGAAGTTATTGGAAGTTATTGTTGAAACCTGGAGATAAAAAAAATATAAATTGATTTAAAATCGAAATTCTGGATTATCAAACTATGCACCCCCCAATACAATAATTGTCTCCAATTTCTAATATCCAAAGGTAACAAGAATAAAAAATTCTAGTCTCTAGAAGAGTTGCTTTGCAATATTTATTTCAAAGAATTTTAAGATTTAGATAATCGAGAATGATAATAATTTTTTTGAAAAATATCCCAATTTTGCATAAGAAATTATGACTGAATTTTGCATTTATGGTTTTAATGAAATAACTTCATATAGTTTATTTGAGATTGAATAATGGGAATTTGGCCCATATTGCCAAATGAAAAAAAAATTTAATATACTATTTTGTTTTTTATGTTTACTTCTTGGAAGCACAATACTGCTTTTGATATAAAGTTGGACACGCTCCTACAAATAATACTAAGAATCAATTTACACATATGGTATTATTTTTTGCTACACTCATTTCAATTTTTTATTCAATACAAACTGTATTGATTTGTATGAAAATGATTTAATTTCTTGATTGCTCTCTTACCCGAAGATTTCATTACATCATTCCACATCGAGTATAACGTTCATTTTAATCGGACGATCGTCTATTACAGAAAATCATATTACTAAAAAAAACACAATAGTAATCATACATTCATGATCGGTTTTGAAAACAGTGCTCTTCAACCGGGTTTACGACATACCCACGTGTATAACAGACCATAAGTTGGGTATACAACTGATAAACGGTATACGAAAGGTGTAAGGCCGAAGTACATTATGTGCTTAAAATTTAACGTTTATTTTAACCTTAAATAAACATTTGTATTTGTAAGATATACAAAGTTTATAAAAAATTATAAAAGGTATACCACAATAAAAAAGGTTGAAGAACACTGCTTTAGACAACGTGAATTTGGAGATTTTATATTGGACAAAATTCATATATTCAATACTAACGAGGCTTTTTTTTCTGTACTTCAGTGCGACGTTTCCTTTTTGCCTAATGTCGACGAAGCTTTAATGTTTCCTTTCTGTTCTATGTGGCAAGGAGCGTTTACTTGTATACCAACGATCTCAGTTGATTTCGATTCTGTGAATAATTATTTACAAAGTTGCATTTTTATTTACCGTACGTTTTATTGCATGTGAAAATCACTTACCATTTTGTTTTAATGGCCATTCTATAATAATAGGGCGAGGTCTGGGTTCTTCGTTTGATTCTATTTCTTTGATGGTATAATCAATTTCTATAGTACAAGGTTGGGGTGGTAGTTCCTTCAACTTGAAAAATTCCATATGCCACTGTTGCATAAGCCATTTTTTTGTAATTTCAAAACCAAGTTCCGAAGGTACAAGTTTAGTTTCATTTGGCTTATCACATTCCATGGAAATTTGAATATTTGAACCTTGGGCAACACCTATTTCTACTGGCAATGGAAATCCAGTTGCTATTGGACCTCCACAGTTGCCTAAATCATTAGCCGTGATGTTTTTATTTTCTTTCCAAAAAAAAGAAATCACCCTTTTTGTATTCTCAAAACTGACATTGTTTTTCAAGGAGAATTCAATGTTTTTTAACTGATCATCAGAGACTTTTGCCTCAAAATGACAAAAGTCAGTAACTTCAATATCAATAACCCCCAATTGTCCTAGTAGTGCTGTGTGACATTTTTCTTTCTGCCCTTTGATGACACTTGAATGGAATACCGAAACCTTAACAGGTATGTCTACATGTTTTGGGCTACAAAAAGTTTTCATTGTTATTTTGACTGGCTTCTTGAAAGTTACTGGCAAACGATTACCGCCTTGTGATTTGCAGGATTCGTTTACCTGTCGTTTGCATGTGAGAACAGGGGAAATGGGGACAAAGTGCTTTGACGGATTTTCGTCTAAAATTGAACTTGACTCGAAGAAAAATGTCTTCGTTCCTTGAACTGCGCCCGGGGGAAAATATATAGTAAAAGAAGATACTTTTACTTCTCCACCATCTTCACCAATATCCCCCTGTATTACTTCTGGTCTACGGAGAGCGCTGTCAAATTTCATTATAAGGATGTGTTCTGAAATGAGGAAATCGTGAAAATTTTTGTGAGATCATGGCCACGATGGTCAGGTTATTTGTGTATTGAAGCACGCTATATTTGGAAAGCAGGTTCAGCCTTAGCCTAGGCGGCACTTCAGAAGTATGTGTACCAATATGGAGGTAACTAATTTTGTTGCCATTTTTACATCAAGTTGTGTAAAGGGACGGAAACCTGTGGGTGGGGGTATATTCACTTGGCTAAAACAGTAGTCCCCGAACTTGTAATAGAACTAAATAAGGAAAATCGGAATAAAATTATACCTAACCCAAACCTGGGCTTAGGCTCAGCTTAGGCTCAGAACCTGTCTGAGACTCATCTCAACCTGAAAGGAAAAGTGGTAAATGATTTTAAACTAAAAATAATCTAGTTCCATCTAAAATACTAGATTTTCGATCGATGGCCGCTTCAAAATAGTAAAATTTAATTTTTTAACAGCTGTTATTTAATACTAATAGCTGACTAATGTAAAGTTAACTGATAATTTTTCTAAATATATAAACTGGTTAAATGCAGGAAGCCAGATCTGTGATATTCTTAACGCACTCCGTCAATAATTTTTTCTATTTTTTGAATAACAAAAAGCCATGTAAAAAAAACTTTGGCATGCCTTATTCTATTTCAGTTAGAAACTTTAACTTTGACTCTGAAAGGTTTGAGTAGATGACTACAGTGAGTGCCAGGCATACAAAAAGGAATCTTATTTTTCTGAACACCAAACAATCCCTTCAACAACGAGGATAATTCAACAAAATTTAACTTCGAAACTTACTATCCAGCCATTTTTCAACCTGGTCAGTTTTATTTTCCATGATGCCCAGCTTATATTTACTTGTCATTTCCATGTGCTGCCGTTCAATTGCATATGGATGATGAACCTGAAAATTGTGTTATAAACACAGAGTGAAATTACAAATAATTTTCACAAAATCAGTTGTAATTTTACTGATGGGAATTTTCATATTTTAAAGTCATGCAAACTATCATTCCGGGAAGCCAAATTATGCTGAAGTAGTAACGAATAGTTAGTAGTGGCAAGTAGTAACGTGTACACATATTTCCGAATGAAGAAAAATAGCAAAAATTTGGTATCAAAATATACAGTATTGCACTTGCGTGTCGTTAACCTTATTACTCTTTGCAAAACTTGCAGTTAGGTGCATTGTTATTTATAACCAAAACAGACATGGACATTGGAAATAAGCGCTAATGCCATGAGTTGGGACAATGGGGGATTAAAAGTTTGACTGCTGCCACTGCACTTTAGCAAGCATGCATAACTATATTTGCTATTGCACTTTATTCACATTCCAAACAGAACAAATGCCAGATAGAACCACTAACAGTTAATAACAATGTAACAGACTGTTATAAGTATATACCCCTAAAGTCACTCTCAGGCCTGAATAGGCACAAGAGATGGTCATTATATTACCCCTACTAGAAACATTTCTTTACAAAATATACATTAAACTTACATTACTTTTTTCCAAATCATCCGGTGTTTCCGAACCGTCAAAACTCCCATTTGAACTGTCAGACTGAGGGACAAAAAGTCTAGATTCAGTATTATTTTAGAGTTGCTTGAAGATGAAATTATGAACAAGCATATGATAACATACATATGCAACATGCACCATGAAAACATAGTGGAGTGGAGATTTTTCTACGAAATTATTTTGTTTCATGTTCAGTTACCTATTCACCGTTAAGATGGTCATAATGCCATTATCAATTGAAACAGAACCAAAACTGGGACACAAAATATTGAATTTGAGATTAAATATCTTACATCTGCATTGGCTTGTATTGAAAGTGATGAGCTCTCGCCTCTGTCTTCCTGCAGAATAAAATAGCTATGGATAAAAGTTTTACATTCGTTTGATGTTAAGTTCAGACCCCCTGTAGCCGGGTCTCGGGGACAAAATTTTAAAAAAGTGTGGTTTGAAATTCAGGTGAGAGAATAAAATATTTCGATTAAAAGTTTAAAAAAGACATGTTTCACAAAAGTTTTCAGACACAATTAATGTCTGTTATATTTGAGTTTAAAGTTGGAATGACATTCCATTTCCACTGCAAATTGAATGATGACAGCAATTTGAGATGAATCCAATAATTATCACAGAAGAGAGGGAGACTCACTCAGTATCAGTCTCGTGTTCTGGCACAAAGCAGTGACCTAAATGGTTATACTTAATCGGATCGCTTAAGACGGCAACTGCTCGTTTAATGTAAAAGGATGTTACATTTCATGAAACAGAATGTCATTTATTGAATAGAAATTTTGCAAACATATCGAAACAAATATTACTACATAATGTTGAAAAAACAGATATTTTGACAATTTATTTCTCCTAGTTTACATTGTGAGTTTATGCGAGAACCACTTATGGAGTTCAAAGAATTGTACAATTCAAAAAGTTACCAATCGCCCACCTTCAGAAAGAACTCAACTCCGGTATCAGCGATCAATGCTTTGAATCTTTCCAACTGATCATTGATGAAGTGACAATATTCCATGTCCAATTTCTCAACCTGGCATTGATGAACAATTTCACAGATTGTGAATAATTCTTCATCTCCGAGTTTGCTGACTGGGTTAAAACTCAGTATCAAGTATTTAATCTGAAACAATACATATATATACATACATATATACATATATTTTTTATATTATATTCAACATTCATGAATTGATACATAGGTCATAGGTGTAATGCATATAGATTGGTATGCTGCCACGTTAATTATATTTATACCTATCTTATTCATCTAGGGCAGGGGTGTCAAACATGCGGGCCCAGAGCACTTCCAATGCGGTCCTCGAACGCTTAACAATAATTGTAAAATTTTGCGAATTTGTTTTTTATCTAAAGTTAATACATTTTTCAAACCTTTTAAAGTGAAAACCACAATTTTCTGAAAGTAGTTTTGGAAAATAATTTTTTTTTGTTTGCAATTGGACCCAATTGGATACACCTCAAGAAGGTGGCATTTTTGAAAAAAAGTTGCAATATTTCTACATTTCCAAAATTCTAAAGCACATTGTTTAATTTGTCACATTTCAATCAGTACAATGAAAGAATACCAAATTTTTAGCCCCTGGTTTAAAAACCTTGCCCATTCCTGGTCCAGACCTTCGGCGTTTGCGAATGTGTGTGTTAGATATGTACTCCACGTTAACCCCATGTTACCTCATCAAGTGTACCTAGCTACACTTACATGGAGGTAATCCCGATTTGATATCAATGACCCTAATCAACCAGTTAGACCAGTGTTTCTTAAACTGTGTCCGCAGAATCTCAGATGTGATGCAGAGCTTTTGAAATTTTAGAAAATAAGCAATTCCTATTACACATAGGCATGCATGCAACGGGCAAGCTTGTGAGACTTGACTCTGAGAACCACTGAGTTAGACAGTCATGCCCGTCCAGTTGTCGCACAGGGGGGGGGGGGGGGGGGGGGGATTTCCCATCTGGAAATCCACTGCCCTAGACCAGGGCTTCCCAAACTCGGGACAGCGGCCCTGGAAGGGGAAGTATCTATTGTACTTTTTCATTCTCTTCATTCTAAACACATTTATTAAAAATTTTGTAAAACAAAAATTTTAAGGTTCCGAGTTAATACATCTTCATACCGTGTTCCCCAGAAAATAAGACAGTGTCTTCAATGTTCTTTCGAAAATAACACTAGGGCCTATTTTGGGGGGGATGTAGAGAAAAACGAGATTTTTTTAATATACAAAATATGGATATCGATTTCCATTTACCCATTTAATAGCACGTTTTCATTTAAAATAACTGCAATATATATAGATTATCAACCATTTAAAAAGTAGAAAAAATTTCTTGCTATCGTACTAGTACTAGTGATTCTCGAACTTCATTGTATTCTGGCGCCCTTCAAAAATATACTCAAGTTGCGACTTTCCATGAAAATACATATTGATACCTTTTCAATAAAAGACCTTTATTGCAATGAGTTTCATAAAAACGAACAAACAAAACTTGACGACATTCAGTGAAATCACATTTGATAGGCCACGGTAGAAAAGCCTGTTTTATCAAAATATGAACTCGCAAAGAGGATGGGAGTGCACGACGCTTCTTGAAAAATAAAGAAAAAATAATCTTTATCTACAAAAAAAAAAATAATTTCAGAATTAAACTTATTTATCATAACACCATCACAAATTTTGCGACGCCCTAGCAAAATTAAAAACGATGCACTTCCACTGGACTAGTTAAAAAAATTGCACTATCGACGAAGTCTTTTTTAAGGGGAGCGCTTACATTTAAACCATTTTTTAAATTCAAGCTTGGTCATATCATCGGGGAAACACGGTAGAATCATCGCGCTTGCATAACAATGCATATTGTGATCGTAAGACCCGATTTGCGCGTGTTTGCATAACTATGCTGGCTTTAATCGCTAAGCTAGTGATTCCCGAAGGCGACTAGCTAAGTGCGCCTCGAAACATATCATATACTCTATTTGTTCTAAATGTTTCATTGTTTCTCATTACTGCAAATGATTGGTATATGAATCAAATTCATTTCACCGTTGTATATTGTTTACTTTCTGTTACATTGGGGTCTATTGTTACGTAACAGAAAAAGTACACCATACATGCTGCAATTTCGTAGGCTGCAGTTTTTTGCTGAACCAAGTTTATCGAACATGAGTGATTTTTTTGCATTTTAAAGAAAACCTAGGCAGAGATAAGAAAGAAAAGTTAACCTTGATTTGCTTCAAAAGACATAAAGTACATATTAACGATGACAAAATTGTGTTTCATTTTGAAGCAGTATATTTTTCGCGTAGGTGCGCCATGAGTTTTTTCCCTGATAATTTGGAGTGCACAAACCGATGCCTTATGCTAAGTTTGACCAATAAGAGTGTTAACAATTCCAGATACGAACCAGACCGTCGGTGGCCAGACATTGTAATTCATCAGTTAGGTCTGCATAAATAAACATTGCACCAGGGATGGACTTGCTATGCAGCAAAAAGCATTCGCACCCATTACATTGAATAACTGAGTAACTCTAATCTGAGTAAATATGTGCTTGTTTTTGTTATTAAGTAGGCCAGGCTAAAAGCTGGGAATTAGCTGTGTCAATTAAATATCAAAAATGCATATTTCGAACTGTTTAGCAATATTTATTTGGACAAGGGCCGCGAAAAATTTCAATATATCAAAAGGGGCCGCGAGCTCAAAAGTTTGGGAAGCCCTGCTCTAGAGCCAACGTTGTGGAGAACTTCTTTAAGAGTTATGGGTATTAGAAAATTATAAATTGATATATTTTCAAGTGAATCATGATAATGATAAAATTCTTCTATATTGTGATAAGATATGCCCACAGTTGTATTTAAGTACGTCGAATTGACAGTTCTTTTTCATGGAAAAGTCTAGACAAATTGAAGTCGCATGAAAAGTTACAGAATAACATTTGTTCAAGCATTAACTGGAGTTAGGTAAATAAAAGTCTGCAATGATAATAAACATCAAAATGAAACTACAGACTCACGTCACAAGGTACATCATAAAAGCCCATTTTGTGACTCACAATAGATTTACCGGTACATGCATTTCAACCAAACAAATTGCTTTATTATGGTAATATTATTGAAGCTCAATTGCTATGCGAAACTGCAAATGGCTCTTTAAATCAGCCTTGGTTTATTAAGTCTCGTAAGCGAAGTGGATAACTGTGGTAAATCTGGAGCTAATACATGCATTGAGTTTGAGTTTTACTGGGGCGGTACACCTGTCAAGGTGTAACGCAGGTGTCCTAAGGTGTCCTCAATGAGAATGGTATCTTTGAACGACTTGCGTCTAAGTCAGGCGGGCGAGAGAGTGCAGCGTCGCGACAGAAGCGGCGCCTCGGTGTCGAGAGCGGCAGAGCCAAAATTGTACTTTGTGTGTCAAGATTGATTACCTCATTCATGGTAAAGCTGTTAGAACTTGGGAGGATAAAAATGAAAACTACAACATTAGTACTCAAATACACTGAACATATTTTATGTCCGCAATAAACAAATATATTGTTTGAAATCTAAAAGTGAAAACTTACAAAAAGAAACCGCTTTGTGATATAAAATTATTCTCACTAGGGTCAACGGAAATGCCTCGTCTAATAAAAAAAATAACATAAAAGAAAATTAAAATTATGACATAAGCATTCCTCTAAAAATTTTGGTTTTTATTTATCCTCTAAATTCAAGTGGAATCTGATATCGCCTCACAAAAAAAAAACAATGGCTCCTGCACTATTTGGCCAAATTCTGACCAAATTCAGAGATGGCATCCCTGACCTACATGTTTCTACCGAGTATGCAGATATATATTCATCCGAACTATCCACGACATATACAAATTCATTCTCCCTCTTCCTTTGAGCATGAATCAAAAAATACTAATTTCTTCACTAAGCTTTAGCTGTAGTGAAATCAAGCCTCAACTTGTATTTTATGGGAACTGTGAAAGTTTTCATTTGTTATCATAGTAGTAACAGCATTTAAAATCAAATTTACTACACTAATGGCCACCCACATTCTCATACTCTCTTTATTAAAGAGTCTTTATATTTTTGCTCTGAACAAGACTCTAGGTACTGTATTTTTAATTTAAATAGAGCGATAGCTGTGGTGTAGTACCTCACATGTAAAGACTGTCTAAAACAGTGGTTCTCAACCTTTTTCAGTTCGCGGACCGGTTAAATTTTGAAACAAATTTCAACCAAAAATGTCATGAACACAAAACATAATCAAAAGAATGCAATTACGACAAAAGTAGAAGGTGCAAAAGAATACAATCCAATCTAATGAGAAATTTGCGGCTGTCTTTTTGATATTATTTTTTTCGATGGCTTCGCGGGTTTTATTGCATTGTTTGGAAGAATTTTGGCGCAGACTTTGCACATGGGAAGCGGTACTTTTTGCTGCTGGGATCAATGGTAAAACCTAGCTCCAAATACTTCTTATCATACCAGATCCATATCAACTTTCCTGAAAGGTCGTTTCGGGGCATGTTGTAAAGTTGATGTAGCAGTCTCTCCATCTGTCCTGTCAACACCACTAACCTGGTTTTCACCGCTGGGTTTCTTTTGGAAGAACCGGATAATACTTTGTTGTTTATTTGTCTCCATTTTACTATCAAACCTCGTTAAATATAGAGCTACTGTCAAATTACGGAACGTGCGAAGTTCTCAATCAGGTACCGTATTGTGTGTATGGATTTGTTCAAAAAGAATTTTTTTTTAAACAATTGTTTTGAATCCATTTTTTTGCCTGTTTTGTTTAAAATGGCTGTACTATTTGCAGGCGCTCTCGTAGTATGTGGACCAAGATGGCGGACCACGGAATGTAGTATGTGTACCGGATCAGGGTTAGGGAATAATTTTATTCCATTTTTTCATAGCCAAGTGACTTCCGTAGTATTTGTACCTAAAATTATGGCCTAAACCCAACCTGGTACACATACTACGTTCTGGTGTCCGCTATCTTGGTTCAAATACTCCGGAAGTTCAGATTTTATGGTATTAAATGTTTTAGAAAAAATGAATGTAAAAACATGCCAAGCGCTTCTTATTTGCAATAAATCCTTCGAAACGCCACAAATATCAACAAAGGCCCATACAATCCTTCTCAAGCTTTAGTGCAATGCGTCCGCAAACGTGGTTGGCGCAGGAAGACGCAAGCGATAAGACGATATTACGTGATACCGATATTACGTAAACGATCCTGCGACGAGAACGACCTTGCAAAAATTGAAATACAACCGAATAAATGAGTTTGTATAACTTTGAAAAACTCTATCACTTTAACCTTAAGAACAAAGTATGCTAGGCATGAATCAACCGAACAGTTTAACCGTAATAATGCCTTTATTTTATGAGAAAAATATCAATACAGAGACTCAAAATCCTTATTATGGGGTCATATCAGATTCGTTTTGACATCATTGCACCAAACGTGTCTTACAATAAGCATAGCTTGACTCATCGTTTAAATCAGGTTGCCGCCGATGTAAGTAGGGGTTTTGTTTTTTATCAATTCTAAAAAAACATTGTGTTTTGAAACAAGGGCTTGTTTTAAATCAATTTTTTTCTGTATTTTTTTGTATTTTTTATTGAAATATCCCTTGCATCGCCGCGAAACTACGCCAAAACGTTGCATTCTGGCAGCTGCACACGCAACCGGAATTATAATTTCAAAAATGTAAGTAAAATTTTTTATTTTGACTTTTACTTCTATTGCGTACATTTATCGCCACGTTTGTATCTCCACCAAAGTCATAAGATTTTACCCGTGATGTATAGCCGAGATATCAGAGAGACGTTTTGAGTAAGAAAAATTATGAAAATTATCTCACGAGCCTACTACAAAAGCAATTAGATCAAGTGCAGCCCTTCGGCAAAACGAGTGGGTTGCGATAATGAAGAATATGCTTATATCGACGGTAATCTACTAATATAAACGATGAGACACCCTAGCCCAGCCTATGTTAATTGTAAGAGTCCTCTAATGCAAAGACGCCACAACTAATCTGCTGTTATGACACCATAATATGGATTTCCAGTACATGTATTGACATTTTGTATGACAGTATTGACAGTACATGTATTGGCATTATTACGGGTAATACTGTTCGGTTAATTTATGCTTAGCATACATTGATTTTAAAGTTGAAGTGTTAAGTTTTCCAAGGTTATACAAACTCATTTATTTGATCGCATTTCAATTTTCGCAAGGTGGTTTTATCGCAGCAGGGTCTCTCACGTAATGGCTTATCGGTTGCGTCTTACTGGGCCAACTACTGAACTACAGCTTGAGAGGGTGTACATGAGCCTCTATCGATATTTGTGGCGTTTTGAAAGATTTATTGCAAATAAGAAGCGCTTGGCAAGTTTTTTCATCCATTTTTCTTCAACCTATTTAATACAAAAATATTTAATACAACCTATTTAATACAAAAATAGTACAGCCATTTTGAACAAAACAGGCAAAAAAAACTTGATTTAAAACAATTGTTTGTTTAAAACAAGATTTTTAGACCAGGGGCCAACAATTTTGTCCATCTAGGCTGTTGAGCCATGTAAGCGTGACGTAAAAGTTATATTTTATGTGAACAATATGTATACAGTGTTACAAAAGCAATGTGGAAAACAATAATTCTTGTGCCCAAACTAAATTCAATCACAATCTTGACAAATTTTCTGGTCCCAAGACATCACAATTGGGTTTTAGTTTGGTTGTGGGCTGTGGCAGCATCAGACGGGGCGGATTGATTTACCCAACGGGCCAGATTTGACCCGCGAGTCGTAGTTTGTTCTTCATTGGTCCAACCAGTGCTCTTCAACCGGGTATACGGTATAACCAAGTGTATACCAGAACATAAGTAGGGTATACAACTGATAGAGTGTATACGAAGGGTGTACAGCCTAAGTCAAGAATTCTAAACTCTGATATATTAAATTATACAATATTAAAGCGAGGACAACAATGCAGAGGCGGCGCGATGAAATATAAAATGTCATTTACGCAAAGAACCGACGTGAGCACATTATTACTTCACAAATTATGCAGTCATGTTGGTGGGTTGGTGATTTCGGCTGCCATTTACTCCGTTTGGTTTACGTTGATCATTATTCCTGTTGACGTTAAGACCTCAGTCAAATTTATAACTTGCGAACACTAGCCTAATAAATTGCATGATGATATTATATGACAATATGTGCTTAAAATTCAATTTATTTGAGCCTTAATAAAGATTGGTATTTGTAAGGTATACAAAGTTCTTGAAAAATTGTAAAAGGTATACTACGATAAAAAAGGTTGAAGAACACTGGTCTAGACTCTTAGAGGGAGGGCCATAGGAGCACCCGTCTCGGGGTGAGTTTGTTGCTTAGCTTGATAATTTGAATAATATCAATACAAACATTTCCCTCTTATTTTAACTTTAAAATATTTATTCTTGTGTATAACAACATCTATATTTTGTATATTTTAAAATTATTTTAAAGCATATGTATAAGGGGCATCATTATCAGAAACTCACCCTGGGCAGCAGTTTGACACACACCTATTCTCGGGATATTGATGCAACAAGCAATTAAATAAATTTACTATTTTTCAATACAATGTCAATCAACAGGGATAATAATATTTGATCAATTCTTTTATATCTTAAAGACTAGCTCAAAAATCTCAAGTCAAATCTCTTTGGTGATAACTTGAGTCAAGATATTTTGATTGTGCGAGTCGAGTTCCTTCGAGTCTTTTAAAGGGGATTTGAGTAAATAAATGATTAAATTCTCTCAAATGCTTATTTTGACTCCTACAATATACAGGGTGTCTCAAAAGTGAGTATACACTTTTGATTTTAATTTGCTTTTCGGGTAGAGCGTTAATATCTTCAGAAAACATAATATGGATTATGGATAAGTAGTAGGTATTGTTTGCATTTTTCATCAACCCACAGAATGACAAGGAGATTAACCCAGGAAAGGAGGTGCAAAATTGCTGTTGGGCAAAAAGCATATATATTCAGTAAAACAAACCAGTGAGTATATATATATGTATATAGTCACCGACTGTGTAGAGCCTTGTTCTGAGCAAAAATTAAATGATTTTTTTTTCCTATAAGAGGCGCATGAGTTAGAGATAGCGATCGGTATATAGTTTCATATACCCTTTAATACATGCACCAACCACCAATCCTCTAATAAACTAATTATCAGTACAAATTTATGCTGTTTAGTCATTCATGCTCATCACATGAAGTCTCATCTTACCTTTGCATTGCGAGTGTTTTCTTTGAAAGCTTTTATTCCTTCTGCTGTCAGATCGCAACCAGTAGCATTGAATGACTCCACATGACATTGTGTAACAACTAATCCGAGTTCACCAAAACCATCAGTTCTAAGGTTCCTGTTATAACTGACATCTAGTTCATTCAGCTGAAATGAATAAGACCTGTGAAATTATCTAACATGGTGGAAATGCAAAGGAAACTATAGAATTCACTGCACTGAGGGTTCACATCGCAACAGCATGAAATAAATTAAGGTTCTGATATGGCAGGCTATTGATCCACCTAATCTAGGTTGCTGTAGAACAAGAGTGCGCAACATTTTTGACGATGGGCCATCTAACAACTTCAGACATCTAACTGGGCCACATCACAATATATTGTTAACAAGCCTGCGGCAACAAAATATGTTAGCGACTACCAGAGGGCAATGCGGAGGGCAATAAAGAAGAATGAAGCCTTACAGTAATGAATGCAGTGGGGAAAGATGTAAATTAGCTTGACTTGACAGTGACAAGACTGAAAAGCATTATGTATTTTTACTCATGTGAAAGCCTTTAAACTGTCAGATTAGAATTTTATGCTTGATGGGGAAAATGACTAGGGCCACACTAAATGGTTTGGTGGGTTGGATTATGGCCCCCAAGTTGACTGTCCCCGACCTCCCTTTTTCTACCAGAGTATGCAGATAGATATCTGAACACAACAACATATACAAATTCATTTATCTTCTTTTAAGCATTTCCTCACTAGGGCTGTGCGTTTCGAAACAGTGTTGTTACTGCCGTCAGCATATTTTTCGCAGGCATCTTCTCAAACATGTTAACTTTATATTTGGGTTGCTATAATATATAATGTGATGTCAATAATATTATTAATTATAGATATTATTAATTGACTTTATTCTGCCGCCTACTATTTGTTCTAACCTTTTTGAAAACTACCCTGTAATAATAACGTGACTCTTGGGATGAAGTACTCTCTATTTACACACGTTATCGGTATGTCAATAAAAAGGGAATGGCTATCTAGTTATTTATGAGAACAGTTACTCAGATATAAGCAGGACTGTCATTGCATTGATAGAGCCTTGAACAGTGGTTCCCAATTTTTTATGCCTGCGAACCATCGAAACAAAATAATATGGCTCATGCACCGGCAGTGAAATTATGAAAATGCTGTGTTGTTTTGGTCGAAATAATTTGTAGCTGATTAAAAAAATTTTAAGTTAATTAAGACATATGTGTGTAATATCAATAAGAATAGGTTGCCTTTACTACAGAAACTTCCGCACCATTAAGATATAAAACCAGGGATGTCATTGCTTGGATAGAACATAGCATAGTGGTTCCCAACCTTTCAACCCTGTGGACTGGCAAAACGAAATAATATGGCTCATGGACCGCATTCAAATTCTTGAAATGAATGAAACAGCTGTTTTTTTCATCAAAATATTTTTACTAGTTTAAAACTATTTTTAATTGGTGTTACAAGTTAAATAATAATCGTGTATTTAAATGGTTCTGCTGACTTGGTATCTTGCTTAAGTTACTTCGGCAACCCCCTTAGCCCTCAATAATATTGAAAATCCCATCTATGACTAAAGCAGATAAAAGCTTCAGAGTAAATAATGTTATTAATCTTATCTTATTTTAATAAAGTATTTCGAATTATGAGAGATCTGTTATGAATATCACTTAGATATACAAGCATGGGCGATAATATGATTGATAAAGACAAATAAATGAAAACTGATTATGAACTCAGGAGACAAAACAAAACCATGGATAAAGTTTAGAATGTACAGTTATAAAATCGAAGATTTTTCCAAAAAGATGTTTTACGTTTTCACACACCTAAAGTTATTGAACCAATTCATACCACACACGCACACACCCATAGGGCTATAATGAAGTTAGAAAAAAAACTTTAGATAAATTTTAAAGTAAACATACAAAAAAATAAATAATTAAATAAAAAATTAAAATGAAAAGGAAGAATTTTTTTTAAAAATGAGAATTGTTTGCCACACCATTTTAATAATTTTATAAAAATTCCTAAATTGAATACAGATTATGTAAACAAGATTGAACAGCATTTAATAGGAAGACAAAAAAAAGATTTTGCCAAGTTGATTATAATTGAAATCAAATGCCAAATTGCCCAACCACAGTTGCCAAAGTAGGGTGCATGAAGCTAAAGGTAACAGTTTGAGTGAAACAAAATTAAATTAGGGTATTGCAATATATTGGTTATTAAGGGAGTGAGCAAGAATAAAGGAATTGAGGACAGTTTTTAACAGGATCATTAGAGATGAACTCGGGAGATTCATCACGGAAGATGATTGTTCTTGCGTGAATCTAGAAGTTTCTGATAAAATAGAATTTGATGCTTCTTGGCAATTGGTATCTAGTTTTTGGTAATCCAACTCACAAATATAAAAAAATGTCAAGCCACGTTTTCTTTCATTGAATTGTTCAATTTATCTGGGGCTCATCACAAGAATACCCTAAGGCAATGGTTTTAAAAATATTAAAGCTGTGCCTCCATTCTAGAATTTGTCAAGTCTTAAGCCCTACCTCAAAAAAAAATAGCTAAAAATAAGCTACAAATAATAGTAAGGCGAAAGTATGTTTAATTCAAAAAATACATTGAAAATACCTGGATGGAACGTAAATATCCAAAATAAAGAAAATGTAAACATCCAAAATAAGGTGGGCAAGTTCAAACCTGATGAATATATTTATTTTTAATTATCTTAACGCCCCCTCAAAACTTGTCTACGCCCCCCCCCCCCCCACCCCCTTGTGAGGCGCACTCCACCGATAAAGATCCACTGCACTTAGGTTGCTAAATTTAACAAGCAATGTTGGAAATGTTAATGTTCTATGCATGAGCATGCATGTACGTTAACCTGTTTGTTACCTTGGCATTGCGAGTGTTTTCCTTGAATGCTTTCATTCCTTCTGCTGTGAGATTGCAACCTTGAGCCTTCAATTCCTTCACCTGGCATTTTGAAACAACTGTTCCAACTTTACCAAAACCAGCAGTGCCAAGATCCTTGTTGTTGCTGACATCTAGTTTATCCAACTGAAAAAAAAAAGATCATTCATTTATTATTTTGCTTAATCGGTGCCAGGTGTTGTGAAAATGTATTCGTAACAGACAATGGTTTGGGGTTGACCTTCTCTAGATATCAATTGAGTAAATCCACATACACTCTGTAAAACGAAAGGAAGTCCAAGGTTTATCAACAAAATGTTTACAACATATTTAATGGATTAGGAAATTATTTTGTTATCATGTTCCAAGCTTCAATGAATGTGTTACAGACCTTTCCATAGACTTTCCATTTACTCAATTCCATTATTTGATCTTTATTCGCTTTTAACTCTTTCCATGGGTCCATCAGAAGTTCTTTGACCTCACTTTCACTTGCAAACTTAGATATTGCAAGAAATAGATCGAATGTCACGTGGGTTATGGATCGAATATCCAGAGAGCAAATCTAGTAAAACAAAATTTATATATAATACAGTACTCATAAACAAATAAGGAAATTTGCAGCAAAACAAAGCAAGCTATACAGTGTAATGCAATTCCTTAGCTCCGTAAGTGACCGTTGGGCTGCAGTTAGTTCAAGACAAAGGCTGCTACAACGGGCCTGTTTCATTGAAAAGAGAGTGCGACACCATTGGGTTATTGTTAGGTTCTTGCGGAAACTTTTTTATAAACAGCAGTTAACGAATATTAGTAATGAAATCATTTGGTTTTCACTGTTAACACTGAAAAGGGAAAAGGTCATCAGGTATCAAGGTCATAAGGTCATCAGGTATCAAAAAGGTCAAAAGGTATCAATTCAATCTACTCTACATCACCACCTAGTTTGGCAGGAATGCTGAACAGAAAATCACTATGGATGTACTTGACAGAATATTCGACGATAGATCAAGCAGCAATAAATAACAAAACCTTTAATCCTGAGTGACTTCCAAGAGCGTCTAGTTTTTCTTTTGTGAGTTGGCAATTTTGCATGACAAGGTTGAGAGCTTTACTATTTGCTGTCAATAAAGAACCGGGAGCATATTCCCGCAAAAAAAATACTTTACTATCCAAATTCACCAATATCAAACATCATAAAACCAGCTTTTTTGTGTGTATTTTCTAGCCAACTCAACAAAAGAGCAACAGTGGCATGAGATTATAATATAACTTGGTCATACTTCTAATCCAGAATGACTTCCAAGAGCATCAAGTTTTGCTTTTGTTAGCTGGCAATTTTTTGCAATGAGTTGGTCAACTTCATAGTTTGTAAAAAGGTCACCAAGAACATCAAAAGCTTCTTCGTCCATTGAATTTTGACTGATATCAATAACGGATATCTAAAAAAATAAAGATAACAAACATCAGTGCAATAAAGGCGGGTATTTTGACATTTGAATGTTTGAAGGCTGGTGCCTACTAACACAGAAGAGTGAATTTAGAACCACTAACACAAGTTTATTTTCTGATATATATCAACATCACGCATCAAAATGTCGTAAAACAGTGAAAAATAAATGATAAGACTCAATTATATGCCATCCATATAATCCTTTTAAAAACATTTCAACACCTCAAAAATAACTAGCTAACAATAAGCTATAAAATAACAGACCCTTAGGCGAAAATATTTTTTATATTAAAAATGCGTGGAAAATACATGGATTGAATGTAAATATCTAAAATGAACAAATGTAAATATCCAAAACAAGTCGGGCAGGATCAAATCTAACAAATATTTTTATTTTTAATTGGCTTCACTCCCTATCAAAAAATTGTCTAAGCCATTGCGTCCCACCGTTTGAGAACCACTGCCCTAATGGAACTATCTTCAACAAGCAAAGTAAGAAATGTTAATGTCCGATGCATGACCATGCATGTAAGTTAACCTGTTTGATACCTTGGCAAGATCCTTGTTGTTGCTGGCATTTAGGTTATCCAACTAGAATAAATAATTAAATTACGGTAGTCCTTCAATTCATAAATGAGTTGAATATTCTTTTTGCGAATTTATCATTTATCAATTTATTATTCTGCCTGATCTATGCCAGAAGTTATGGAAAGTATCTGCTGTTCACTTATGCCAGTCCAGGTTTTTTAACTTCTGATTACCAAAATATCAAATAAACATTCTAAAATACTGGAAAATATAAACTAAAAATATATTCCATATTCGAAATATTATTTGAAAATGTCTTCGGAATAGACGATGGTTTGGGTTTGACCTTCTCTGGATATCAATTTCCGTAATGGATTAGGCCAGGGGTGTGCAACCTTTTTCATTGGCGGGCCAAATACAAGTAACTGTGTGAGGCTGAGGGCCGCACATTTATTTAATTCAGACTTTTTAGTAGTTGCAAGCCACAAAAATTGCTTATATTTGCTAGTGATCCTACGGTATTATTATTGATTCTTGCAGAAATAGTGAGTTGAAACGCGTAAACTTCTGAAGAAACTGCTATTTAAATTTATTGTCACACCCACTTTAAACCAATTCTGTGAGAAACATGTTTTTGGAATATATATTGTGTATTTTGCAAAAAATTTTGCTAACTTGTTTTGCTATCGTTCCCTTACTCCGCGTGCCGATCAGTATGGAATAGTGCAAAATGAACGAGGTTGCCCCACAAGACTAGTTGTGATAGTTTTTGCAGTGTGTATTGGAGATAAAAAAATATGTAAGGATGGTGTCACATATATTTTTGTGATATAATACAGACCTTCCCACAAAGTTTGTATTTGCTTAATTTCTTTAATTGCTCTTTATTTGCTTTAGAGAAATCCAACGAATCCATTAGAATTTTTTTGACTCCCCTTTGACTTGCAAACTCATATATGGTGAGACATAGATCAGATGACATTTGAGTGATGGATTGAACATCCAAAACATTGATCTGAAAATTATTGCATCTGTTGATAAACTACAAGAATAAAGGTTCCTAGAATATGGAAATTTATGGGTATCACATTTTATCCCAGACCGATCAAATATCATTAAAAATAGCCAATGGTGATATTGCAGTAGGTTATGAAGGAGACTGCAAATACCTATGGCAGGCCTTCTTCTATTCACTATTAAACTTATTAATGTTTACATTTGATATGAAACTAGTATGCACACATAAACATACAAAATAACAAACAACTGATGACCCCCACCTCACCCAGGGTGTAAGAAATTAGGTATGTTCTGCTGACACGCAACCGCAAAACTTGAAACTTTTCTATCAGAACCGTTACTCTTTCCATTTTAGTTGAAGACTCAAGTTCAAATTTGCTAAAAGCAACATCCCAAGCAACTCGATTAAAAGTGGAAAGAGTTCTGATAGAAGGGTTACAAATTTGTTCAAAGCAACACTGACGCACTCAGAGCTTTATATATTATTCATATCAGCACCTTCATACTAGGGACTTCAATTCTCAAATCAAAATATCTTTTGACGTAAACTTCTTTTGACGTAAACTTCCTCTTCGACTTAGTCAAAGCTCGGGACTTTGCTTACAGCAAACATGCATCTTTATATCAGTACTCTTTTCACCTTTAGTTGAGGGCTCAAGACCTTGCTTTGAGCAAACTTGCAACTCTTTCCACGTTAAGTTAAGGACACGGGACCTCAGATCTCTTTTATCAGTACGCTTTCCACTTTTAGTTGAGGGCCCGGGACCTTCTTTGAGCAAACTTGCAACTCTTTCTGCTATTACCAGTAGTTGAGGACCTGGGACCTTGCATCGAGCAAACTTGCAACTCTTTTGCAAGTACTCTTTCCAATTTTAGATGGGGGCTCGAGATTTTGACTTGGGCAAATATGCAATTATTCTATAAAAACTCTCTTCACCTTTAGTTGAGGGCTCAGGACCTTACTTCGAGCAAACTTGCAACTCTTCAATCAGAATCCCTCGGGATTTTAGTTGGAACCCGAGACTAGACCCAGTTCAGGAGGGCCCGGGACCTTGCTTTGAGCAAACTTGCAACGCTTCTATCAGTACTATTTTTAATTTTAATTGAGAGCCCGGGACCTTGCTTTGAGCAAACTTGCAACTCTTCAATCAGAATCCTCTACAAGTTCAGTTGAGGACTTGAGACCTTGCTTTGGGAAAATTAGCAACTCTTCGATCAGAACTCTTTACTTTACACTTCTAGTTATGAGCTCGGGACTTTGCAAATCTTCTATCAGAACTCTTCCCACTTTTAGGAATTTATGCTCTTTTATGATTCAGAACCTTGCGTCGAACAAACACTTTCACCGCTTATTATTATAGCCGACTATTTTAGCTGATGACTTAAAAGTATTAATAGTCTTTCTATAATAATATAATTGTGTTCAACATTACTTACGATTGCGGTCTCTTATAACAAAATAAAAGCACTACCAATTGAATAGAACTATATCAAAGGTTTTGGACTTAGTTTACCTTTCCACAAACTTTCCATTTACTCAGTTCCAACAGTTGCTCTTCGCTTGCCTTGAAGCAATCCCACGGATCTATCAAAAGTTCTTTGACATCATGTTTAGATGCAATCTTGGCAATTGCAAGATACAGATCAAACGTCATGTTTGTGATATTTCGAACATCCAGAACTTGGATCTGAGATAAATAAAATTGTTTGTTAGGTGAATAAAAATACAAAACCCCAAAGCTGCATAACTATACTGGTGAAACCTGACTTGAGATTTATCTAAGATATTCTCTTCGTAGATACACTGATTTACAAACCACAAACACATCACCATCGCAACTATGGTCCAAATGAATGGAGCAGACAATGCTGAAAACGATAGACTTCAGTTTTTCCAGACAATGTAGCTAGCTCCCTTCCATATCAGTAGCTGCTTATTCAGAGCCTCGTTCATAGTGAAAGCCATGATTCCATGAAATAGCGTTTTATGAGAAAAATAATAAGAAAGAAACAATTTGCCAACAATATATTAGTACTACATGCAGGCCATAATGTTTCAACACTGGCCTGGCTTTTTAAAAGTATACAGTCAACGTTTGCAAGGCGAGTTGAGTTCTCTTTCCTGTAAGCCATAGTTGGGCGAGAAACAACACTAGGATTGATTAGTGAGTTAAAAGGATGTGGGGCATTTCAAATGTTTCAGATTTAGTTTACCTTTCCACAAACTTCCCATTTACTCAGCTCCAACAGCTGCTTGTTGCTTGCGATGAAGCAATCCCACGGATCCATCAAAAGTTTATTGACAGCATGTTCAGATGCAAACTTGACAATCGCAAGATACAAGTCAAACGTCATGTTGGTGATATTTCGAACATCCAGAATGTGAATCTGAAATATTTAAAACTTCTGTTAGGTTGATAAAAATATAATTCCTCATAGTAACTAGACCAATTAAATATAATTTGGAAGATCTTTGCTAGGGAATATTGAAATGTTAATAGAGTTTGTATAATTTAACAAATTTAAATAAAAAAACAGAGCAAACTTACTAACAAAATAAAACCAAGAATTAAGGAATTGGTATATTAAACCATCTTAAAATTTATATTCCGACCTGTAAATGGGAATTTCTTCCAAGCACACGAAGCTTTTCTTCTGTAAGTGAGCAGCCACGCATAACGAGTTTTTCCACTTCAATGTTTGTTAAAACTGAACCAAAGATATCAAAAGCTTCAACGGACATCGGATTTAAGCTGATATCAAATTCTGACACCTGTTAGGATGCAATACAAATTAATATCAGAAGTATAAAATAAAGTTAAGATATGTTCGTATAACTGTGATAATTCTAACATTTTAAGGTAATCGACTAAATATACATTAGTTTGACAGATGGGAGATACATTTTTTATCTCATGATGTGAAATTAAGTGTATTCTTTGTATTATTTTCGTCAACGATAATAGGTAAATCAGGTTTTTTACTAAACACTTGCCTTCACTATAGAGCCTTTCAAGTTGAACTCGAAGTTTTTCAATAATTCTGCATTGAGCTCACATTTGACGAGGCGAACTTGTTCAAGATGGCTACATCGTCGCATGACACATGACATTGCACACATTCCTGCTGCAGTGAAAGACTCGTTTTCGAAGTTGATTTCTTGAACATGGGATCTAATGAGCTCGGCATCATTGGCTTCATATAACGCACCAAACAACTCCAACTTCTGATAGGATTTCGTACATTGATTTATCTTAGTTGTGAGTGCATGTTTGAGACAGTTTTGCTTTTCTAGTCCAGTCTCTGACAAAAAAAAAATTCAAAATATTTAGAAGCGAGTTTACACATTTCTCATTGGGTAAATAACACCTATAAAATGACTCATTCATGTCACAAACCCGTCACCCCATTCTGTTACCAATACAACGGTTATATTAAATAGTTTAGGGTTGCCATACCATCCGGAAAATTCCGGACATGTCCGGAATTTAGGGTTGAATTTTGCGTCCGGAAAGAATTTTAAAAAATGCTCATTGCCCATTGAAAATAGATACCAATTGAAACGTTTATTTTTCCTGAACTTGCGTTGTTTTGATTGTGGCGCAACAATGTGAAATTCACGGCTTTATAGGCAAACTGTGCAATCTCTAAAGACAGCGTACTGCGAGCATTGGAGAAATAGATTATGGTTATTGGAACTAGGGGGAGTTTTTAAGAATTCATTAGATGGGCAGGTGACAAGGGCAATAATATCAACACGAAGATTTAATTTAGTTACATAAGGTCAATGAATTGTTGTTGCAACAAATTGATAGTCAATATATCATAACTTTGTTCGGTGTCTGATTACCGGAGGTTCGCGTTGACAGAAAAAAATTGACAGGAAAAAGGTTGAGAACCCCTGACTTGGAACTTTCTTGAACCGTTGTGCTGAATATGAATTGGTTAGATATAGATCACATGCTGCGAAAGTTACTAGAACATTCCATCTATAAAAGCAGGCGATTTCCCACATTTATCAGAGATTAACTTAAAATGTCATAGAGGAGGAAGCCTAGTGAATTTTTGATACAGAATTTTTGACTGCTGACTGGGCTGCGTTTATTGCATGGATTATACTGAGTAGCTTTGCTAAGTATTGTTGATTGACTGGCTTAGCCTGGATTGACGGACTGATATCTTATTTGGTCGTTACTTGCCACAGTTATCTACCGTTTATTTATGATTATTATTATCTGACTTTTTAGCCGTTTCGTTGAGCAGCTGCAAGTGTATTTGATAGCAACTAGTGCTAGTCCCTTATTAAGTTAGCTGAATACAAAAGTTTTATACCACAAAGCTTTACTTGTGGAATTCGGGATCAAAAGTGATAGTCCCTATAGCCTTTTGGTTCAGTTAGTCTGATGGTAAATTACTTTGTTTTTTAGATTATGTATTTTTAGTTTGGTTGTATTTATTGTAAGAAGATATTATTTCAAATGGCTATGTTTAAAAGAAAGTGCACATTCACTAACGAGATGCAAGAAAAACATCCATGTTTTAGAAAAGGCAGGAATGATTATGAGGCAGAATGCTTGGTTTGCAAATCAGGAACTTATATATCTATCGTGCACAAAGGTAATGGTGATTTAAACACACATCTGCAATCGGAAAAACATCGCAAAGCAGTAAGAGGGGCTGTTGCATCAACGAAAATGACAAATTATTTTTACTACAGCAGGAAGCAAATGCGAAGATGAAATCACTGCCGCAGAAGGTACGCTTGCATTTCACGCTGTTAAGCATCATCATAGCTTTTTGTCCATGGACTGTACATCTGCTTTATTTAAAAAGATTTTCACTGATTCTAATGTAGCGAAGAAGTTCAGTAGCGGCCGCACAAAGACAGAAAAAGTTGTTACTAGCGTTCTTGCGCAATATTCTATTGATGCTGTTCTGAAAAGTTTTGAAGAAAACGATATCGCGTATTTTGGCGTTGCAACAGATGGCAGCAATCACAATGAACTGAAATTATTTCCTACAATTATTCAATATTTTGACTGGAGGAATGGTGGTTTGCAATCAAAATTGATTGAGTTTACAAACAAGGCAAACGAGACTGCCGACACAATCGCCACTTATATAAAAGACACATTAGAAAAAATTATGCGTTTGAAAAAATGTGTGTCATTTACAGGAGACAACTGCACTACTATGTTTGGAGGACTTCGGCGTAATGACCAAGGAAACAATGTGTTTGCAAAGTTAAAGAAAATGTTAAACCCGTCATTGATTGGGGTTGGCTGCCCAGCACACGTTTTGAACAATTGTATTCATCATGGCGCTGAAAGAATGAACATCGATATTGAAAATAATATCAATAAGATATATCAATATTTTTCTATTTACACAGTTAGAACTGAACAACTGAAAGAATACTGTGAATTTGCAAATTGTGAATACAAGAGACTTCTCTCTCATAGCAAGACTCGCTGGCTCTCCTTGTTTCCTGGAATTTCAAGATTGTTAGAAATGTTTTCACCCCTGAAGTCCTACTTTTTGTCACAGAACATCCACCAATAGTTATTAAACGGTTCTTTGAGAATGAAATGAGCGAGTTATACCTTTGGCATATGCACTCACTGATGTCCGTGTTTCATGGACGTATTCAAGTGGTTGAGAGAGAAAACAATTCCGTCGCAGAAGTGCTAGAAAATTTGGAGCTGGTTCATAAGGTGCTTGTGGAAAGGAAGAATGAAAGCTTTATGTCCTTGACGGTTAAAAGGCTTTTAAATAAAAAAAGAGAAGAGGGATATGAAGATGAATGTAATAATTTTCTTTCCGAACTTGCAAACCTCTATGAGAGATGCCTGGGGTACCTGTGTAAATGGATGAAACCAATGGAAGAGTTTACTTGTTTCAAATGGATGACCTTGAACGAGATACCAAGTTGGAAGGATGTAGAGCCTTGCCTGGAATATCTGATTGGCAAAGGGGTCGATGTGGACGATGCAAAGTGCTTTGACCAAATCTGTAACTTGAGGCAGTTTGTGGAAAGTTACGTACAGGACGAAGAATTTATTAAACTGCCAACGCATAAGAAATGGTGCAAATATTTCGATCAGTCTACGAACATCACATGCCACTCAGAAATTTTAAGGATTGTACAGTTTTTCTTTGCTGTTACATCCCACAATGCCAATGTAGAGAGAGTCTTTTCCCTGATGCAAAGTCAG